TGTCGCAAGTTGTACCCTCTCGGCATCGTAGTGCTGCGGGATTGGAGAGCAAATTCACTAGAAGTAACCCTGTTCACCACGCGGTCTGCTACTCACACTGCCTTGAGTACAACAGCGCATGCGAAGTGCTGCTCAGCGTATCCCTTGTGTTCAGAACCATGCGAGGGGTTGGTACCATAAACGCGGAGCTGGTAACTTCCAGAATCGGCGACAAGGTAGTTTCCCTCGGTGGTTGCTCAATCAAGGAATCTCAGCTGCGTAGATATCCCACGGTGATGGGTTAGGATACCTGGGAACGTTACGGGTATTCCCAAGTAATCCTCTCCTGTTTCCAAATGAGCATTGCTGATAGCCAATCCAGTATGACCTTATGCACTTCCAGTTTAGCACGGAGGCCATCGGTAGGCATCGGTGTCTGGGCGCACATTTTGAGATAGGTCTTCTGGTGCCATCATGTGTTGTCTTATTCTGTCACTGTCCTTGAAGTAGCGTTGATGTAGAAGATGTCTCAGCTACTCAGCATCGGTGTTGAAGTCTGCTCCATTTCGGCAAACAGGGGTGTTGTTGGAGATACGCGGAGTCCACTATCCGGAGTGGCATCGGCGCTCCATTTTACGCCTATCTGCTTCCATGGAGGTAGTGCTATTGATGGATTGGTTGCGACGCAGGTTTTATGACTTTAAGGAAAGCCATAGGCCATGAGAACTTGTATACCGGTAGAGTACCGTAGTCCTCCCATCCTCATAAGAGCAAATATCATCTGCTCTTGAGGGTATATGGCATTGCCATAGCTATTCCAGAGCATAGTGGTATCTCCTTCCCACTAGCTGGAAATCGTAGTACTGTGCCTGGCCGGGACTTTACGATCCACTGGAATATAATCCAGCATTATCTCCATTGAGCGGAGAATCATCCATCAGGATTTGGTTATGACTGTTGTATCGAGTCTTCTGCTGCGGCGGCGGTGGCGGTAGCGACGATGGCGACGGCGACAGCTGCTGCAGAGAATTCTCTCAACTCGTACCGGTTGAAGGAGAATCCATCAACTCCCTCTTCCCAGTAGAGTGTTCCTGATGGGTGTAACAGGCGTAACTACCAGGAACACGTGCACATTGGTACACATGGGTTGCTCCATTGCTGCCGGTGATTGTCTCATTTGAGGGTGTGAAGATAAATTTGCTTCTCCCCTCAATGTATCCACGGGTAGCAATTCCTGGTATGCTCATCCGTGCCTCCGATGTACGGTCGGTAGAGCGCGTGATCGTGTTAGTAGTAGTCCGCATCTCCCTCATTTGTTGACACCTCGTGTTGCTTGGCGTTCTCCTGCATCGTCGAAGTTACGCTGATGCTTGTAACGCTTCGGCTTCTGGTAGAATCGCCTCCAATGCATGTGACGTAGGGTCGCTAGTGAGCGAGTACTTGCCAGATTAGAGGTTAATTACTCCTCAATCTGTCAAGCATCGTGACATGCACGGAAGAATTTTCCACGCAGGTCATTAACACCTGGAATCAAGACGCATGATTGGTGTGTCGCCTCGTGAGGTTGATGTTGAAAACTGCTCCAACCAATCACTTCGGATGGCTGAGATTCTTGATGAAGACGAATCGATCAGCTCCTGTTACGAAGTAGTGTCTCGCTGGCCTTGACGAGACGGGTTCACTGCGTCATCGTTGCGTGCGAAATCTACTCCTTCGCAGCAACTTGAACTTGGGAGCATTGCAAGAGAAAACGGCTACTTCTCTGCAATCCCATAGGTTGTCGATCAAATTTATGAGATGAAGTATCTCATGGATGGAGAACATGTCTTCACGCAGCTCCATTGTTTTTCCTGGGTGAAGATCCGCTGTGTTGATGTCGATCCATTTTTAACGAAGATGGCTTCGTCAAAATAAATAGATCGTTATCGACACTAGTTTGAAGATGCGTCGATGGTGCAGTCTCTGGTCACGAATGTTGTCTCCATGGTGATGTTTTCCCATAGTGAAGTTTCCGCTGCATTCGCGCCGTTGATTCCGCATCGATCCGACGATCCACGTTCTCCTGTCAATTTTCTGCTTGCAGCTATTACCAAGTAGGTAATCATTTGGTAGATTTCTGACCTTGCAGATGATTTGCGCGCCAAATTCGTGACCAAATGGAGGAAACCGAATTTGGTTGGCCTGATGAAGAAAACGGTGTCGACGGCGGCTGATTTGTGGTTCTAGACGTCATTCTCCCGTTTTGCAGAAGCGCGCTCCATCTCGTCCGTTGAAGTAGAAGTCGATCCGACGGTCCAAACTCCAAGCGATCTGAAGACGTTCCTGAGTCTCGTTCAGCAGCTTTCTGTGGCGGGGTTGACACGTTTCCTGCAGCAATTCTCGGTCGTCGATGTCGGCTGTCGAACGATCGGACGCTCCGAAGAATTTCGCAGCTTGCGAGGTCCCGTTCCCATTCGCGCTGAAACACGAAATGGCTCAGACGGATTTCGTTTCGCCTCGGTCGATCTGAAGCGTCGAATCTCCATCGGACGGATGTCGTCGTTCGAAGCTTCGCTGATTTCCGCGCGACTCCAAGTGTCGTGGCGAACTACGAACAACTCCGAAAGTCGCTGGGGGTGTTCCGCCGGAACTGACGCGCTCGCCAGGTCGAGGCCGTTTGCCCCCGCGAAAAAAATCGGCACCGTCGATGCAGTCCATCGAACGGTCGGCGAGGCATCTCGCCTTCGAAGGGGTCCCCAGGTGCAACTGCGAGAGGTGGTCGAAACTTAAATGAAAGTGCATTGTACTTACAGGAATTGAAGTTTCGACTCCATCCTCCGCGCGCTCCTGGGGGCCCAGCGGTTAAGCGTTGAGCTGAAACCTTGGCTCTGATTACCAAGTGTCACAGGATCGAATATCCCGAGGAAAGGTTTGCTCAATGTTGCACTCTCAATCAGTACAAGGTGCTTTTATACTTCCAGAATACATCAGGTAACCAGGTTTATCCTATCCAAAGGGAATAGACCCTTCTAGAAATAGAATCACCATGCGTATAGCCACACAAGGCTATTGGCTTTAAGGGATAACGGCAGGATTACGCTAGATATAGCGCGCCAGTACATCCCGAGCCTGGTCGGTGATATAATTATGATAAGAGGATAAACCAAAGGATAATGGAAAAGGAGGAATAGGAAACCAAATGAGATGAGATAAAGACCAAATGAATCAGGATAAAAAGAGGAATGAAATAGAAAGGAAATATGAAAAGGGGAAATTAGTGTAACGGGGTCGTACTCTCACAATCAACATGTATAGCCAGGGAGTGCCCATCCTGGCGCTGACCTGTCAAGTGCCGGCGGAGCTCGACGAGCCAGGCGGCGAAGTCGATCGCGCGCCCCTCAGCGTCCAAGCGAAGAAAGGCGTCCGCCATCGCACAGTGTGACAGCGGCTCAGCAGCGCAGCGACTTGGCGGCTCGGCGGCTCGGCGGCTCAGGGACACGGCGGCACGGCGGCTCGACGGCTTGGCGGTATGGCGGCTCGGCGGCGCGGCGGCTTGGGGACACGGCGGCTCGGCGGCTCATGGGGCCGGCTAGGGCACAAGGGGCCGGCTAGGACGAGCGGGGCCGGCAAGGGCGCGTCGGACTGGCTAGGAACGCGGGGGGGCCTGTAGGAGCATGAGGGGCCGTAGGGGCGCGAGGGGCCGACTAGGGGCGCGTGGGGCCGGTAGGGGCGCGACGGGGCCGGCTAGGGGCGCGAGGGGCCGGTAGGAGGTGCGACGGGGCCGGCTAGGGGCGCGAGGGGTCGTAGTGGCGCGGGGCCGGCTAGGGGCGTACGGGGCCGGCTAGGGGCGCGACGGGGCCGGCTAGGGGCGCAACAGGGCCGTAGGAGCGCGACAGGGCCGGTGGGGGCGCGAAGGGGCCGGTGGGGGCGCGACGGGGCCGGCTAGTGGTGCGACGGGGCCGTAGGGGCGCGATAGGGCTGTAGGGGCGCACGGGGCCGGCTAGGGGCGCGACGGGGCCGGCCAGGGGCGCGACAGGGCCGTAGGAGCGTGACAGGGCCGGTGGGGGCGCGACGGGGCCGGCTAGTGGTGCGACGGGGGCGTAGGGGCGCGACGGGACCGTAGGGCCGCGATGAGGCCGGCTATGGGCGCGAGGGGCCGTAGGGGCGCGACGGGGCCTGCTAGTGGCGCGACGGGGCCGTAGGGGCGCGACGCAGCCGTAGGGGCGCGACGGGGTCTGCTAGGGGCGCGACGGGGTCGCAGGGGCCTGACGGGGCCGTAGGGGCACAACGGGGCCGTAGGGGTGCGACGGGGCCTGCTAGGGGCGCGACGGGGCCGTAGGGGCGCGACGGGGCTGTAAGGGTGCGACGGGGCCGTAGGGGCGCAATGGGCCAGCTAGGGGCGCGAGGGTCCGGTAGGTGGCGGCACGGGGCGGAAGTGGGTGGGTGGACCTACCTACTCGTGATACCATGTTAAGACTAGAAAGAATGAATAGAAGAAGGGAGAACAGGAGAGATATAGTGTTTGGGTTGTATCCACTAAGAACATACCCTATTTAGCCTATAACTTCTACATAACAATATATGTATAAGTTGACACGATCTCCATTCGGTTCGGAAATGGCGGTCCATGTCTGTGGGCACGTTTGGAGGGTGTCCGCCAAAGCCGTCAATTTCTCGTGCTTGTCCGAACGGACACGGAATTTCGGGTTACCCGGTCAAAATTTCGTACCTGATATACAAAGTGATTAGTATACGAACGCGCTGAACACACCCTCAAGTGATTTCCAAGTCTGTTATTGCGGAATCAGGTAGTGTTCGCCCCAAAATCACTGTTCTCATCGCACTTTCACTGTTCACTGAATCAGGGTTTTGTCGCATGAAGCGAAATTCACTGTTCCCCGCCTGGCTCTCGCAAAAGTGTCGCCAAGCTGCAACAGTCAGGTTCCGTTTCTTCTCTAGACGGAAAATTACAGTATGTTTCAATCACTTTGAATATCAATCTATGCCAAATTCAAGAGGAAATCGAACAGGAACCTTGGTTGCTTTTCTAGCCACAGGCTTAAAGGAGGCATTAAGAGTTATTAGGATTGTCAAGGCCAGACACAATCAGGCACAACAGTATTGTTGCAACATCACACCTCAAGATCACTGCTGATTCATGGACCTGTACTTTGCATAGCCATATTAGTATCTGCTGGTTGTGCTGCCGGAGCCTGTGGCTGAGCAACGGGTGCCTGCCCATAGTCACCAAAGCTGCCAACAGGAGCGCCATTCCCACCTGCAGAAACTTCGTTGCCAGCACCGGTACCGGCCGCGACCGGCTGAGGCGCAGCTGGAGCCATCTGCTGCTGCATCATCTGCTGGCCCTGCTGGTACCCCTGCTGTTGGTCCTGGGGTGCAGAGACTGCCTGTGAGACCATCTGCAAGGGCTGCTGCTGCGTCTGAACAGGCTGAGCTGCCTGAACGGGCTGCATTGGCTGCATCTGCTGCTGCTGTGGCTGCTGCTGATACGCAGGCTGCTGCTGGGGTTGCAGCGCCTGCTGCTGTGGCTGTACCTGCTGTGGTTGCTGCTGCTGAACTGGGTACTGCTGCGCGGGTTGCTGGTACTGTTGTGTGGTCTGCTGGTACTGCTGTGGCTGAGCCTGCTGCTGAAACTGTTGCTGTGGTGGCTGCTGATATTGCTGCTGCGCCTGCTGCTGCGCAGAAACGGCCTGCTGAGGCTGCTGTGGTGCTTGCTGATACTGCTGCTGCTGCGGTTGCTGCTGTTGCTGCTGCTGCGGTTGTGGTGCTGCCTGTGGCGGCTGCTGGTACTGCTGCGGCGGCGCGGCTTGCTGTTGCTGCTGAGGCTGCTGCTGTTGTGCAGGGGCGGGAGGCTGCTGCTGTGCTGGCTGATACTGCACTTGCTGAGGTGGCTGAGCGTACTGGACCTGCTGGCCTGGGGCTTGAGCTGCTTGGACAGGCTGCGGTGTAGCTGAAGGCTGTGTGTACGTCTGACCTGGCTGAACCGTTGGAGCCTGTGGAAGAAGCGCCATGTGCAAGCAAAAGCTATATGAGAGCAACGAACGTTTCCAAGAAAAAGATGGTAAGCCTTTTGAAGACGAAAGAGCATACATATACTATACGGGTGACAAACGATCTGATACCTGCGGTGGAGGCACTTGAGGCTGAGCATCCGCAATCGCAGCAAGATACATCAGATTTTGCTGGAGCCTAGCCTGATACCTGTGAAAACGAGGAAGAAAATATCAGAAGTTACTCACGCGCAGTTGTTCCTGCGTACAGACAATAATCCCTCCTCTTGACAATCAATCCCAGAGGACTCCTTACTGTGCGCATTCATTGAGTTTGCCCAAGTTCTGATTGTCGAGGATCGCAAGAATCAGCTGCTTATTTTCGTCCAAATACTGCATAACAAATATGAAATAAGTGAGACGCGGAATTCAAAATTAAGGTAGCATCAGCAACCTAAGTAAACAAAAATTGCATTACCTTTTGGATGAGTTCCGTCGTAATAACATTTCCGGAATAAGGCGAAGACTGAACGGGCATTGCCATAGCGACGAGCCAGATCGGGTTACTTTGAAATGATAGAATGACCGAGGACGTGGCGAGGACAACTGAAAGCAGAAATGGGATGGAGGTTTGAATCGAAGACTAGAAGAGAAAGGTTTGCGGGGGACGTGGGGTTTCGAGGGGGCGATGTGTGGGTTGTGTTGTGAGTGGTGGGGTTGGGTGCAGCTGACAGGTGTGGCAGGGAAAGATCGACAAGGATTGGTAGGCGAAGTGTTGCAGCAACGAGGCTCTGATGCGATGCTCGATGACCGCTTGATTGGACGAGACTACTGGTCGACGACTTTTGTAACAGCAACGCCTACCGTCAGATAAGAGCGGATCGACGGTAATTCGTGCTTCACCCTCCTCCCCTCGCACAATTTCTAAGGGCGTGTCCCAGGTGTACGTTTCTCGCTCAAAACCCAACCCAACCGTTTCATGTCGCTATAAGTACTTTCTGACTCGCAAAGAATCTCACCCAACCGCAATCGAACGTACACGCGGGACACACATTCGCTAGTTCAGTAAATCGAGCAAAATTCAGCAGTGGGTCTATTCCTCAAATCTCATGGCTTAGTCACACACACAGCCCAGAGAATTCCACGGGACTAGCCAGCCATGGCCTGCTATTGCCACTCCAACGTCGTATCTGCTGCGAAGGTGGTCAAACTCGTCAGGATGTCAGTCGCAATTCGTACAATGCCGGCCAACATGGAACTCACCCGAGTTTGTCATATTCTTGCAGGTTGCGTTACCCTCCTCTAGCTATAGCAAATGGACTTCTAAGGTTCATTTTTCAAGGCCAGTTTCATCTCCTAGCCAACGGGCCAAGAGCACAATTGTTCGGGCCAGCAACGAATTTGGAGCTTCAGATGATCTCACCATCACATTTCCAAAGTCGAAGCTGGTGGTCCCCTACCCCGACCATGAGGCGAAGGTCTACATAAGCCGCGAGGAATCCGCATCCGATGTGGCGTCCGCGGTGGCGGAGTACATTCAGCGGCTTTCAGCAGAGGCAACGAAGGCCAGGGGTGCATTTACGATTGCGCTTTCTGGGGGCTCCCTGGTCAATGTACGTTTCGACAGCTATTTCTGATTTGTGGGCGATATGTCTGCGGCGTCGTGTATCTTAACGCTCATGGTTCCCGGATGCAGGCTCTACTGAAGCTTGCTGACGAGCCCTTCAGGTCGTCGATAGATTGGAAGAATTGGCATGTCCTGTGGGTGGATGAGCGTGCGGTGAAGCTTTCGAGCCCTGACAGTAACTACAAGCTCGCGATGGTGGGTACTCGTTGCAGCTGCCTCTGGTTGAACTTTGCCATACACTTTCACTCGCAGTGCGTTCGTGTCTTGAGCAGGATGAGGTGCTATCGAAGGTTCCAATCCCAGAGGAGCAGATTTATTGCATTGACGACGAACTGACTGTCGTGGAAGCTGCAAGCGATTATGAGGAACTGATGAAGTACGTGCTGGCCGTCAGTAGCGTGCTGGCCGTCAGTAGCGTGCTGCGTGTTGCATGCTTTCTGCAAAACCCTCATCTGACATCTGATCATTAACCGGCGTTGTGCTCTATGGCCCTTCAGAGAGCTTGTTGAGGAGGGCGTCCTCAGAAGAACACAGGGCGTGCCATTTCCTCGCATCGACCTGGTGAGAACCGTTGCCTTTGGCGATGTATGCTTCCCACAACATGAGTGCTCAATCCTAATGTGGCTGTCAGGTCTGTGCAGATTCTTCTTGGATTCGGTCCTGATGGCCATGTGGCTTCACTCTTCCCCAACAGCCCTCTTCTGTGTGAAACATCAAGATGGGTGCTTCCTGTCACCAACTCGCCAAAACCACCTCCAGAACGGATCACCATGACACTCCCTGTCATCAACTGTGCTTCAAATGTGAGTGCCTGTTTGCGTCCCACTGTTGACTGTCGCTTCACCGGGGCTGCTTGCCCTGCTCATTACTGCTGACATACAGTATTGGCGGTGATTGTCAACAGGTTGGTTTCGTTGCAGCCGGGAAGGGAAAAGCAGAGGTGGTGCAGAGGATTTTCGGGAGGCTTGCTTTACCAGGCGCACTGCCCGCTCAGCTGGTTCGTCCCTACAGTGGATCAATCACCTGGTTTGTGGATTCAGCTGCAGCTTCGAAGCTGCCTGTGTAGCCCTGCATAGGCTCCTAAGAAGCAACACCGTTCTGAAGTGGATTTTACAAGGCTAATCCAGTAATGGAATGAGCATCTGCATACATATGGATCAGAATAGCTGGCTTTCAAGGCCAATGCCCAGGTCATCCGCAAGTCCATCCCAAAGTGGCAGGAGTGTGAAAACTGCCAGAGCAATAGCCCCAGCGAGCACTGCCTGCCTCTGCCAGCCAACTCCCGTGACATCGTTCAAAGCAGGCTTCTCAAAATTCCTCTGGTGGACATGGGGAAGCACAGAGAGACAAGACCAGTTAGAATACGTGCAGGAACATTCTTTTCCTGCTAAGCCTCTAACAGTTACCCCACATATTTGGTTCATGAATCGCAGTGAAGGGACCCATACCTGAAGAAAGAGGACGTAGAGTCCGAAGGGTAGAGAAAAAGGTCCCCCAAGCTGCCAGCAGGCACGGAAACAGGTTCAGGCAGAGTGAACACGGCTGAGCAGGAGGGGTAGGCTCTGACCAAGCTTGCATTCAGGCTCGCTATTCATGCAAAGGGGTACTGCGAAATGGGTGGACGCCTGCTCATGAATGCACTCACCAAGCCGAGTCCCAGTAGTCCGTATGTGACGAGGCTAGTGATGTTCACAGTGTCACGACCAAACGCAGCCTGGATGCATGCGCAGAGACAGGGGGGCACAGGGAAAAAGAGGGGCATTGAAAAAACTCTGAGGCGACTGCCAGGGCGGAAGGCAGAGAGTAGCTAGCCAGCATCTGTCAGTGTAGGCATACAGGCATACAGGCATGAAGTACGAACTGCTTGAGTCATACCTGTGTTGCTCGGCCCCCATCAATCCGGCCTGCTGGCAAGAGATTGAGAGCAGAGGTAGTCAAGCCACACCTGTGACAGCAGGACATGCACGAGTGAGAGCAGGTTGTGAGATGCATATAGGTGAAGTTGGAAAGCATTTTATGGCACAAGTGAGGCACGGCGATGGAAAGGGTGGCGAAGCCTTGAGCAGAAGCACGCACCATCCAACGATGACCAGCGGGTGGATGGTGACTGCCGCCACGTGCATCAAACTGAGTGGGGCGCACAGGGGGGAAGGGAACAGCGCACAGGGCTTCATGGGGCCACAATGGACACGGATATAGGTATGGTATTGCAACGGCAGGATGTGAGAAGAGAGGCCCATTCGCCCTTCACTCTCTCCTCTCAATCCGCCATAACACACCCACTCGTATCCCAGCACCGCTCTACACTCACTCGTATCCCAGCACCGCTCTGCACTCACTCGTATCCCAGCACCGCTCTGCACTCACTCGTATCCCAGCACTGCTCTGCACTCACTCGTATCCCAGCACTGCTCTGCGCTCACTCTTATCCCAGCACCGCTCTGCACTCACTCGTATCCCAGCACGGCGCGGCAGAGCGCCCCCAGCAGCAGGGAGCCCTGGAAGAGCTGTGAGGGCACCTGCACCAGCGAGTCCTGCAGCCCCGGCAGGGCGGCCAGGGGACCCGACGGTGGCAGCGACAGGGCCAGCCCCGCCGCAAACATGGCGAGCGACAGCGACGCGCCGGCGAGGGGGCCGGCAATGGCAATGTCGAAGAGAGCAGCGCGGTCGGGACACGGGCTCTTGATCTGGGCGGCAGGGAGGGGGGGGAGCGTTGCATATGGGCAGGGAGTGGGAGTATTAAAGAAGGCACGATGGGAGTGAGTGAGGCATGCAAGAAGGATGGGGAAATGGAGGAGTGCGAGACAGGTTCGCACTACAAGTTAGTATCGCCGAGGAAGGGAGAGAGAAGAAGCACCCTAGCCGCACCTGGGTGACGGCCCCGAAGCTGCCGATGGTGATGTTGGGAACGAGGTACGGGATGCCGAGCCTGACCCGCTTCTGCGCTGCCGTCAGCCAGTGAGCCACCTCCTGGGGTGGTTGGGGCGGGGGCAGTGGGTGGCCCAGGGGGGGGGAGGATGGCGCATGAGCGGGGAGGATGGTGGAGCTGGGAGGGTGAGCTGGCTCTCTTGCGCTACACAGAGGACGCCTGAGAAATGACAAGGCATTCAACCTGCCTGCATGCACGTGGAAGACCTGCCCTCACGCGCCTTATTCCTAGCTCACGTGGAACACCCACCCTTAGCTCTCGTGGAACACCTGCACTCACATGCCTGAAAGAAACCTCCCTCGCAACTCACATGGAAGATTTGCACTCACAAGGAACACCTGCCCTTGACTCACAAGGAACACCTGCCCTTGAATCACATGGAACACCTGCCCTTGACTCACGTGGAACACCTGCCCTTGACTCACATGGAGCACCTGCCCTTGACTCACATGGAACACCTGCACGCCGAAGACCCCGTAGGCGATGGGCAGCGCATTGCGCACGAAGGGCGCCAGCACCACCACGTCCGGGGGGGTCAGCTCCTCGGGATTGGGCGACGTGAAATAGCGAATCACGTCCGGCGGCACCTTGGAGATCTGGGCGGCAGGCAAGGGCGGGACAGGGCGGCAGCAGAGATGGGGGTGATGCGTGTCTAGTTGGCATGCTCAGTGGCAATGCGGGCTGCAGCTCATCCCCCACCTTTTCCCCACTCCCCCCCTCCACTCAACTCTACTTTCGCCTTGCCCCCTCCCGCCATGTCCAATGAGCGCCCAGTGATCTGCGCCACCATTCCGCACCCCTCCCAACCCCTCCTTGCACTGCGCCGCCATTCGCCCCTCGCCATTTCCCTTCGCCCTCTTTCCCCAAGCCTGGCCCCCCTTAACCAACCCCCCTAACCAACCCCCCTAACCAACCCCCCTAACCAACCCCCCTAACCAGCCCCCCTAACCAAGCCCCCTCCTCCCCCCCTCCCACCTGGCTCGCGAGCCCCAGCTCGAGGCACGCCCCCCCAGTGAGCGCGAGCAGCAGCGCGGCCAGCGCGAACTGCCACGCGGTGGTGGCGCCGCCCTGCAGCTGCTCCGCGCGCACCACCACCATCGCCACGCGCGCCTCCCCCCCCCCCTCCTCGCTGGGCGGCGCGCCCGGCTTGCGCGGCTCGTTGACCATGAGCAGCTCGTACTTGGCGCCGAACAGCAGCCGCACGCCCGCGCGCAGCTTCGCGAACACCTCCTCCTTGGGGCCGCGCAGGTTACCCTGTAGCAGCACGGCTTCGCCCGCCTCGCCGAAGGGCTCCTGGCCGGTGACGAAGAAGGTGGAGTAGCCAAAGAGCTTGGCGCGCAGCAGCGCCACGTCGTCCGCGTCCACCTTCTCGGGGCCCAGCAGCGAGATCACCGCGTACGAGTCCAGCGCCACGCCCGGGGGGGAGGGGGAGGGAGGCGGAGACGAGGGGGGAGGGGAGGATTCGGGCGCTTTACTGCCCGCATCGGAGTCGGGCAGCGCACCCCCCGCCTTGGGATTGTCGTCCTTCTCCTTCTCCCCGCCCTCTTGCCCCGCCGCGCGGATCCCGCGCGCTCTCCGCCTCACGGGCGACGGTCGCAGCGGCCCACGCGCGTGACTTAGTGGATTCGACGCTAATCGCGGCGGAGTGGCAAGGGACCGTAGCGAGGAGGCGCACGGCGAGAGGCTGGACGGCATGGCGGCGCATGGCGGCGGAATGGAGCGGCGAGACGCGGCACGGGGAGAAGACGCGGCAGGGGAATGCGCGATGCGCATTCGGGGCACGACGCGAGCCATGCTCCGCCGCGCGGAACGTCCGGCTGGCTGCTAGTGGGGTGCGGTGCGGCGAGTGTATGATGCTGTGGTTGGAGGAGAGGGGCTCTACCGGAAGAACTGGGCAGGAGTGGTGGGGCGGGGAGAATGCACGAATGCGGGCTGATGCGTGGCGAAGACCGAGAGCCCTTCTAGAATGCGACGCAGCGACAGGCGAGTGGTAACCAGGGAGATTCTGAATCTTTCCGAGTAATTGGGATGCGGGTTGCGACGCTCAACGACGCTGACGAGCTCGCGAAACTGTTCGTGGCTGGCGATGAAAATACACGATGGAGAACAATCTATATTATTCGAAACGTCCAAATACAATAGTCTACTACTATCACAACAAGACTCAGCGCTTGCAAAACGCTTTATATATTCCATCTCTAAATGAGCAGCATACATAAACAACTCTGTGAACTAACAACTCCCTTCACCCTTGATTGACGAGGCGCTTGTCCTACTCCCTAGGTTTGTCAATTTTGGCGGTAGGCAATGAAGTCAGCGAGGCCGATGAGGGGAGCAGCCTTGCGTTGGTCAAACGCGCTCAGCTGCTCCTTGGCCCTCCGAATCAAATCCTCCGCCAGCTCCTTGGACTTCTCCAGCCCCAGCAGCCTGGCGGACAACGGGGTGGCGGGGGACAAGGCACAAGGACAGCAAGACAAGAGGTTGAGAGGTGGTCAGACCAGACAAAGGATATCTTCCTCTCTGCAATACCAAAAATAGGCAGCAAACAAACAAGGCCCTAGCTTGAGAGGGAGGCCTTACTTGGGGTAGGTGGTTTTGTCCTGTGCGAGGTCCTTGCCCGCTGTCTTGCCCAGCTCCTCCGTGGACTTGGTCACGTCCAGAATGTCGTCCACGACCTGCCACCGCGGCGCACAGGGGAGGGTGGAGGTCAGCGGTGGGGAAAGGAGGGCGTGGGGAAAGGAGGGCGTGGGGAAAGGAGGGCTGAAATGAGTGTGAGTGATTGACATGAGGAGCACATTGTGGAGTGAGTGAGGCACCTGGCTGACGCATTACTGTGTGTGCTGCTTGACATGCTCATATCCTGTCCACCGCATAGTCTTGGCCTGCACCGCTGTGGTTCCCATCAACCCCAAACCCTCAAATTTGAATTCCACCTGAGGTCCACCAGTTTCACCCGGAAGCTGACCCCCTTCCCCCTTCCTCCCTCCTTCCTCCCCCCTCTCCCCCCCCTCCTTTCCTCACCTGGAAGGTGAGCCCCACCGCTCCCTCACCTGGAAGCCAGTCCCCCCAACGCCCGACCTGAAAGCTGCCCCCCCTTGACGCGGAAGGTGAGCCCCCCCCTGCCCTGGAAGCCGAGCCCCTCTGAGTGGTGGCCCACCTGGAAGCCGAGCCCCCCTGGCCCACCTGGAAGCCGAATCTATTTTTGAGGCGCCTCAAAATGCCCCCCTGGCCCACCTGGAAGCCGAGGCCGACGAACTGCGCGTACTTGCGCAGGCGCTCCACCTGGTCGTCCTTGGCGCCGCCCAGCACGGCGCCCGCCACCACGGCGACCTCGAGCAGCGCGGCGGTCTTGTGCACGTGGATGTACTCCAGCGTCTCCACGCCCACCGACGGGTCGCTCTCGCTGTCTAGGTCCACGATCTGCAGGGCAGGGGGAGGCAGGAAAAGGCGGAGGGAGGGGGGACACAGGAGCGGCGATGGGGGGCAAGCAGGAGGGGCGGGAGATGGGCGCAACGCTAGACTGATAAACATATCATTCCCACTCCTTTGCTCTGGCGCTCCTCCCCCACACTCCCTCCGCTCCGACTCATCTCTTCACAAGTCCCTCAAACATGGCGCTCCTCCCTCCGCAACAACCCCCCCTCCCCTTCCCCCCCCTCCTTCCCCCCCCCAGCACTCGCTCCCTTGCCACACCCTTATCTGAAGCGTCGCACCTTGAGCGTCCTGCTAGTGCGTGACCTAGTTCTTAGTCACCCCAGTAACTCACTATCCCTATCCGTTGGCCTGCAGCTCCTGATCGCGTCTCAAACGTGCAGCTCATTCTGGGGCTGCTGCCAACTCAACAGCACGCCATGCTATCGCACGCGCCATGCCAGCCACGCCATGCGCGATACCGCCACCACGCCACACATTACCCCTCGCGCCCCTCGCTCCCATCTGTCCCACCACTAGTCCGCCTCCCCCACCTACGCCTCGCCCCCCCTGTCCGCGCACCTGCCCCGCGACGAGCCCCTCCGCGCCCACGGCCTTGCCCATGTCGGCGATCACGCGCACCACGCGCTCCGCCGGCACCGACGTGGGCGTCGCGCGCGCCACGTGCTCGAAGGCGAACGACAGCAGCGCGTCGCCCGCCAGCACCGCCACGTCCTCGCCGTACACCTGGCAGGAGGTGGGGGGGGGGGGAGGGGGGGAGGGAAGTGCGGCGCAGAACGAGAGGGCAACACGAGGGCCTTTAGCCGAGAGAAAATCGCCCGCCTTAAGACGTTTCAGTCTTCGCTATCACTCTCCCTTGCCATGCAGCCATCCGAGACGGCCTGTCACCGCTTGGTCACGCGCTCCTCGTTTCATTCACTTGCGCCCCCCTGCCTCTCTCCCCACTCTGGATCCGCCTGCCACTGTTATCTCTTCCCCCCGCACCTTGTGGTTGGTGGGTGGCGGCGCACCTTGTGGTTGGTGGGCTTGCCGCGGCGGAAGTCGTCGTTGTCCATGCACGGCAGGTCGTCGTGGATCAGCGACATCGTGTGGATCATCTCCATCGCGCACGCCGCCGCCATCGCCACCGAGTCGCTGCCGCCCACCAGCTCGCACGCCGCGAGGCACAGGCACGGCCGCACGCGCTTGCCGCCAGCCAGCAGCGAGTAGCGCATGGCCTCGTGGATGCGCTCCGGGTACTGCAGCGGCACCGCCGCGTCCAGCGCCGCGTTCACCGCCGCCGCCTTGCCGCGCATGTACGCCTCGAAGTTGAAGTCCGCTGGGGGGACGCGCGGGGGACGAGCGGGGGCACGAGGGGGGGACGAGGGGGGGGGGGGGGAGGGGAGAAGGGGAAGGCGGAGAAGGCGCGGAAGGGTTGACGGGAGGATGGCGGAATGCAAGGGGGATGCGAGGTGTCGCTCTCAGGGAAGTGAGTGACTCGCGAGGAAGGCGAGTACGGAAGGAGCGCCCCCATGAGTCTGCTTTTGAGTCGACTCAAAAGCTGATTTTCTTTCCCTCTTCTCTTCTCTTCACTGTCCCCCCCCTTCCCTCTCTGCTTTTGAGTCGACTCGAAAGCGGAAGGAGCACCCCCATGAGTCCTTGCCTGCTCAGATTCTAGAATTGACAGACCCGCTAACGAGCACACGCGATTCGACAACTGAAATCTCCAGAATGCCGATCTTCTCCAGAATGCCGATCTTCTCCAGAATGCCGATCTTCTCCAGAATGCCGATCTTCTCATGTCCAAAACGCCTACGGTCTCCTAGCCGTGTCGCCTCTCTGCTCATGAGTAGAATGCCCAACCATGGTCACTCGAGCATGGCGCCTCACCTGGCACGGCGGCGTCCGCGTGTTCGTCCACCTGCATCTCGCCCACCGCCTTCGCCGCCACGCGCAAACCCGCTCGCCGCCGTTGCGGGTGCACTGACGCGCGCTGTGGGGCGGCCAGGGCGAGTTGCCGCGAGGCGGAGGCCGTCGAGTGTGCGGACGACATCGGCGCGCAGCGGGCCGCGAGACCGCTGGGTGGTCTGGCGAGCAACGACTTGGAGGCGGCGAGCGACGCCATTTGCACGACGGGGACGAGGCGTGCACGGCACGGAAGCACGCGAGGCACGGCAGCCGCGAGTGGACGCGCGGGTAGGCTCGTTCGGACCCCTTGAGGGAGGAAAAGGAAGGCGGGGAGAGCGGAGGCGAAAGCGGTGAAACTGGGTGTAGCACGGTGGGGGAGGCAGTGTCTCCGCAATTCCCGAGGCGAGGAATGATGCAACGCTTTACTGACTCTCGCGGCAACTCCAAGGCTTTCCTCTCCTCGCCCTTCCCCTGCCACTCCCAATCCCAATTCCCGAGGGCCCTGCTGCGACTGACGACGCGGTGGGGGTGGGTGGGGCAGCTGACGGGGCGGGATGGGCAAGTGATGTGGTGGCGGGCAGGGGTGGGGCAGCGAGCAGATAACGTTTGGTTGGGTGCGCCAATGAGGGCGGAGGGAATTGGAAGGGCAATCAGAGCGCTGAACAATGGGCCGTGAATTTGCTGAAATTTAGGACACCCAGATTTTGTTTTTGGCACAAGAAAGTGGGTTTCACGAGTGTTTTACCAATAACAAATAACGAAACTATGGACTTGTCATCTTGACGCATGACCCTAAAGCGCGGAAAACTAACCGTTTGGCACTGCTTCAGTGCTTGAGCCATCTTCCCTTTCAACCCAAAGCCTTCGCGAAAAGCCCCAAGCCAAACTCAACCCCTCGCCCCCCTCATTTCCCGTTTCCTCCAGCACTAGCATTCGCGTAAGTGGGCCTCACTCCGCGCGTAACCGCAGCGCATTCCCCTTTACAACAGATTACGGCGATGGCGAAGAAGAAGGAGGCGTCGCCCGCGAAGGGCAAGCCGAGCCACTCCATGGACGCCACGCGGCGGGAGGGCGTGGGGAAGTCGGCGGGCGGGGCGGGGTCGTCGATGCGGTCGGCGGCGACGGTGCGGCGGCTGGCGATGTACAAGACGCGGCCGTGGCGCAACAGCAAGGGCAAGGTGCTGCACAACGACCTGCAGTCCAAGGCGCTCCCCAACACGCGCATCAAGCCCGACCGCCGCTGGTTCGGTCAGCCCTCGCCCCCCTGCCCCTGCCCTCCCGCTCTCGCGCGCGCTGTGGAGTGGCGCCAACATTTGTTTGACGCATAGCAGGGCGTTGGGGATTTAGGTGCGGGAGTGGGGTTCAAGGCGCTGATGTGCCTCAGCGCCTCATGGCTCGCGAACCTTTCCCCTCGTCCGCAATTTCTCAACCTGCGTGTTCCGTCGGAACCCTAAACCCGTGCGAGGGGTTCAAGCCTCAAAGCAATGCCGTCGGCGAACCGTATGTGGCTCGGAAACCCTAACCCCGTTTGCGTGTACCCTGCATGCGTGCGTGGCGCAGGCAACACGCGCGTGGTGGGGCAGCGCGAGTTGGAGCGGTTTCGCGAGGAGCTGGGCGCGAAGGTTTCGGACTCGTACACCGTTATCCTCAAAGACCGCAAGCTGCCGCTCTCCCTCCTCACCCACCAGCCCCAGGTGCGCCTCTCCCTCCTCACGCACCAGCCCCAGGTGCGCCTCTCCCTGCTCGCGCACCAGCCCCAGGTGCGCCTCTCCCTGCTCACGCACCAGCCGCAGGTGCGCCTCGCCTCTTGTTGCCCCACACCCCCCCGTTTACCCCTTCCCTCTTTTCCTCCTTCCCTCCCCCGCCCCACTGCTTTCCGCCCGCCCACTCTGATCTCCTCTCCCCCTTTTCTCCTCCCCTCCCCCCCTCCCCCCCTCCCCCCCCCCCCGCGTGGGCAGGGCAAGGCGCGCGTGCACATAGTGGAGACGGAGCCCTTCCAGGACACGTTCGGGCCGGGCGCCAAGCGCAAGCGCCCCAAGCTGGGCGCGGCGGGCGACGGCTACGAGGCGCTGCTGCAGCACAGCGCGCACAAGCAGGGTAGGGTGTGCGGGGGAGGGGGAGAGGGGGGGGGGGGGGCGCAGAGGTAGCGGGGTCAAGGCCAGGCTTTGCTGCACGCCGTTCTCTACGTCGCCGCTGCTACGTTTCGCGTCATCCTTCTCCCGTCTCCATCCCCCCTGCTTACTGGCTCTTCCTCTCCCCCTTCCCCTCTTCCCCTCACCCCGCCCCGGGCGTGCAGAGTCGTTTGAGGACAAGGCGGGGGGCGAGGAGGCGGGGGTGAAGGCGAGGGACGAGGAGGACGGGGTGCGGTCGCTGGTGCGCCACTCCATGTTCGACAAGGGGCAGTCGCGGCGCATCTGGGGCGAGCTGTTCAAAGTGCTCGACTCCAGCGACGTGGTGGTGCAGGTGTTGGACGCCAGGGATCCCAACGGCACGCGCTGCACGTACCTCGAGAGGCACCTGCGCGACAAGTGTCCGCACAAGCACATGCTGCTGCTGCTCAACAAGGTCAGCCGCCGCCCGCTGTACGCGTTGCAAGCGTGTCGCTCTGCAAGCGCATGCGCGTGTGCGCGGGACGGGTCCCTTTGTCGGCCGCCCATCCATCATCACCGCCCTCCCTTGTTCTGCTCCCACAACCCCTCCCCCCACAACCCCTCCCCCCACAACCCCTCCCCCCACAACCCCTCCCCCCATCATGTGTGCGGCAGTGCGACCTGGTGCCATCGTGGGTGGCCAAGGGGTGGCTGAGAGCGCTGTCCCGCGAGTACCCCACGCTCGCCTTCCACGCCTCCGTCACCAACCCCTTCGGCAAGGTGCGCTGCATGCAACGCGCCCACCGTCACTATCCGCCTCGCTCACTGCGTCGCCTCTCGCTCCTTGGCCGTGCACCTGCCATGTTGTGAAAGTGGCGCGTGCAACTTGTCTCCCCCTCGCCCCCCTCCTCTCCCTGCAGGGCTCGCTGCTGTCGCTGCTGCGGCAGCTGGCGCGCCTCAAGAGCGACAAGCAGGCCATCAGCGTCGGCTTCGTCGGCTACCCCAACGTCGGCAAGTCGTCCGTCATCAACACCCTGCGCACCAAGAAGGCAAGTCGTCCGTCATCAACACCCTGCGCACCAAGAAGGCAAGTCGTCCGTCATCAACACCCTGCGCACCAAGAAGGCAAGCTGCCCACCAACCAACCACGCCCCTCAACGCCTCTCCGTTTAGCCCAATCCCAATCCTGTGCCAATCCTTGGCCGCATGCCCCTCATCTACCGTCCCTCTCCGCCCCACACCACACTCCACCCCCCACACCACATCACATCACATCCCCCTGTGGTGCGGGGTGCAGGTGTGCTCGGTGGCACCAGTGCCGGGCGAGACGAAGGTGTGGCAGTACATCACGCTGATGAAGCGCATCTTCCTCATCGACTGCCCGGGCGTCGTGTACGCCGACGCCAGGGACAGCGAGACGAACGCCGTGCTCAAGGGCGTGGTCAGGGTAGCCAACCTGGAGGACGCGGACCAGCACATCCCCGACGTGCTCCAACGCGTCAAGCCCGCCTACCTCTCCCGCGCCTACGGCATCGACAAGTGGTGCGTGCCCCGCCTCTCTCCCTTTCTGCTCCCGCCCTGCGTGCATTGTACTGCTGGTCGTTGTGCTCCTCCACGCCCCGCCATGCGCCCCGCCATGCAGCGCCGTGTTGTCATCATCATCTCACCCCTTGCGCCTTGCAACATCCGCCCTGCGCCGTGCCTCTTGCACCGTGCCCCCACGCCCTTCAGGGAGGACGCAACGGACTTTCTCTCCCAGATGGCTAAGCGCACCGGCAAGCTGCTCAAGGTGAGCGTGCTGCTTGCTGTTCACCATCCTCTCACCATCCCCATGGACGGCTACACCATCCCCATGGACGGCTACACCATCCCCATGGACGGCTACACCATCCCCATGGACGGCTACACCATCCCCATGGACGGCTACACCATCCCCATGGACGGCTACACCATCCCCATGGACGGCTACACCATCCCCATGGACGGCTACACCATCCCCATGGACGGCAACACCACCATAACGCGTGTTTCCTCTGCCTAGCCACCACACGGTTGCCTCGGCCCTCCCAGCACCTCGTCACCCGCTTCCCCTCCCCCAACCACCCGCTCTCCTGCCTCGCCATACTTGCCTCTCCCTCCCTCCCACTACCCTTCCCTTCCCCGCAGGGCGGCGAGCCGGACGTGCAGACGGCGGCGAAGATGGTGCTGCACGACTGGCAGCGCGGCAAGATACCCTTCTTCACACCGCCGCCCGAAACTGACACGGGCCCTGGGGGGGCCGCTGGGGGGAAGGAGGCAGGGAAGCAGGGCGCTGGTGGGGGGGATGCAGGGGAAGCTGAGGCAGGAGGGGCAGAGGGGAGAGCGGAGGCAGGGGAGGGCGAGAATGCGGAGCGGCAGCAGGTGAGCGAGCAGATGGAGAAGATGACTGAAGTGCTGCGCGCCGTGGCGAGCCGGCAGCAGCACGTGCGCGTTCCCACCAACGCGGGGCTGGCGTTTGACGAGGAGGACGCACGGGGCAAGGGGAAGCAGGGCGGACGGAGGGAAACGAGGAAGGCAGGCGAGGGGGAGGGGGAGGGGGAGGACGGAGAAGAGGAAGGTGAGGAGGACGAGGAGGAGGAAGAGATGGAAGAGGAGGAAGTGGAGGAAGAGGAGGGGGAGGAGCTAGAGGAGGGAGAGGAGGGGGAGGAAGGGGAGGAAGGGGAGGAGGGAGGGGAGCGAGAGGCAAGAGCAGATGGGTCAGAGGAGTCAGGAGGGGAAGGGGAGGCAGAGGACGGGAGAGGAGAGGAGGAAGTGGCGGAAGGCGCAGCGGCATCGGCAGCTGCAGCAGGCGAGGAGGTGTCGTGGGAGGAGCTGGTATCAGGTGTGGGGCAGGTAGCACAGCAGCCGGCGAAGGAGGGAGGGGCGGGGGGTATGCAGCAGCGGCAAGCAGCCAGAGGGGGCAGAGGTGGAGGGGGAAGGGGGCAGCAGCAGGAGGCCGGGGGGCGGAAGGGGGGATTGAGCAGGCGGGCGAGGGCGGCAGCAGCGCGGGCGCAGAAGCAGGTGGTGCTCCAGGAGAGGAAGCGCGAGTGGAGCGGGGCGCAGGATAAAGGCAAGGGCAAGGGCAAGGGCGGCAAGAGGAAGGATTTGTGATGGGGGGGGCACATTGACCTAAATGACACTCAAATGTTCTGCCCTAGCTCGCATCCATGGCGGTTGGCAGAGGAGAGCCTGCTGGCCAGGTTTCTGCTATGTGCAATCTCAGATGTAGCAGATTCTGGTGTTGCAAGAGCAATTTTCTTCATAAAAATGCAACAGCCAGACATATTTGTGAGTTAAAGAAACATCTTCCATCACTTGAACACAGGGTTAACTCAAGACATATTTGGGGTGCTGAGTGTAGGCTACTTGGGTTTGGGGCGCTGGGTGTTGGCGCAGTGTGGGCAGAAGAGGCAGATGCGGTAGCCATCAGGCCACAGGGCAGGGTCCACCTGAGGAGGGGCGGGCAGGGGGGTGAGGGGGGCCAAGGAGAGCCAACACGGTGAGGGGGGGCAAGGAGAGCCAACACGGTGAGGGGGGCCAAGGAGAGCCAACACGGTGAGGGGGGGCAAGGAGAGCCAACACGGTGAGGGGGGGCAAGGAGAGCCAACACGGTGAGGGGGGGCAAGGAGAGCCAACACGGTGAGGGGGGGCAAGGAGAGCCAACACGGTGAGGGGGGGCAAGGAGAGCCAACACGGTGAGGGGGGGCAAGGAGAGCCAACACGGTGAGGGGGGGCAAGGAGAGCCAACACGGTGAGGGGGGGCAAGGAGAGCCAACACGGCGCAGGGGGGCGGCACTGACAAGGAGGTGGTGCCTTCGGAAAGATGGGTACGGTCGATTAGCCATGGCCGCGGACGGCAGCAGAGCAACACACACCAAGCCCACCTACTCATGTAACAGTACACACCTGCCCCGCCAGCAGGTTGACCTGCTCCTTGTACACACCTGCCCCGTCAGCAGGTTGACATGCTCCTTGTACACACCTGCCCCGCCAGCAGGTTGACCTGCTCCTTGTACACACCTGCCCCGCCAGCAGGTTGACCTGCTCCTTGTACACACCTGCCCAGCCAGCAGGTTGACCTGCTCCTTGTACACACCTGCCCTGCCAGCAGGTTGACCTGCTCCTTGTACACACCTGCCCCGCCAGCAGGTTGACCTGCTCCTTGTACAGCGCCCTGACGTCCGCCAGGTCCGCCTCCAGCTCCTCCACGCGCTCGTTGCGCTCCCCCAGCATCACCAGCGCCACCTCGTGCCGCGCCCGCACCTCCCGCACCTCGCCCTCCAGCCCTGCCACCGTCACGCGCTCCTGGAAGGGGGGGGAGGTCGGGGGGAGGGAAGTGGGGAGTGGCAGCAAGCTACTTGTACGCGTGGCATCCAGGCCATCACAGCCCATGCACCCCCCTGCTCCAACTCCTCTTCCCCAACCCACTGGACTGAGGCCCAGATTTTCTCACATAACCATTCCCCTTCCACACTTCCATTCTCCACTCTTTCCTCGCTAAACTCCTCCCTCTCCCCCACTTCCCTCCCCCCCCTCCCCCTCCCACCTTCTCCAGCACCATGAGGCGCTGCGACACGCGCAGCAGCTCCTCCGCCGTGGCGTCCCTGGCTGCCCGCCCCGCCGCCACCTCCCGCCGCAGCTGCTCTATCTCGCCCGCCTGCTGCCTGCGGGGGGGGGAAAGGGGGACGGGAGGGAGGGGGCCACATTTGACTGTTGATTTGACCTAGGCTTGATTGGCCTTGAGCATACCCTGTCTTCCCCCCCCCTCCAACCCCCCTCCCCCCACAGGCACTGGCAGAGTCCCTTGCGGAGCAGCAAGACGCGCCAGTCAACATGCAGGCCTGTGGTGCAGCACGGGCCAGTGGGCGGCAGTGAAGGGCGGCAGTAAAGGGCGGCAGTGAAGGCGGCAGTGAAGGGCGGCAGAGCAGAGGGGGAGAGCGTAGAGGAGCAGCAGACAGGGATGGGAAGGTCCATGGCACGCCGTGCATGCGGACCCACCGCCTCTGCCAGAAAGTGCGTGGCACGGACCTCTGAGCACTCTAACGGCCTGCGGGCCGTTCCCCTCACTTTCAACTGCCATATACTCATGTGAATGGTTGTACCTTTCTGTCGAAAGATGCCAGGTATGCAAGTGGGAGCAGAGATGCTGGATTCGGGTACTTTTGCTTTTGCTGCTTTTGCACGGCAGAGAGCGTGCGAGAGAGAAGGAGAAGAGCGAGAAGTAGGGGAGGGGAGAAAAGAGGAAGCGAAGTGGAGCAGGCGGCGCACCGACCTGAGTTTGGCAGTGAGTCGTTCTCTGCCCACACCCCCTGCTGCCGCCCCCCACCCCGCCACGTCCACCTCGCCCAGGCTCACCCCGCTGCCCCTCTTCGCCTCAGGCTCGCTGGCCGTCACACCCTCCCCCGCCCCCCTGCCCCCACCACCCGCACTCCCCCGCTCTTCGCCCGCCATGCTCTTGCCCCCCCGCCCCTCCTCCCCCCCTGCCGCCTGCCCGCTGCTGCCAGCATGGCTGCCAGGGGGGCTGCTGGGCGAGCGGGGGGAGTGGGCGAGGGAGAGGGCCGACAGGGACGGGTGGGAGAGCGCAGCGGAGGGGCCAGGCGGTGCTGGTAGAGCGGTGCTGGGGGGGGTGAGGGGTGGGCCGTGGCCTGGGAGCACGGGAGGAGGGGTGCAACGGGGTAGGAGAGGATGGGGCAACTTCAAATGGAGGCAACCCAATAGAGCTGCTGCTTGTGTGTAGTGAGTCTATTTTTGAGTCGACTCAATGATAGACTGATTACAGGATGGAGGGAAGTTGGAATGGAGGGAGGTTGGAACGGAGGGAGGTTGGAATGGAGGGAGGTTGGAACGGAGGGAGGTTGGAACGGAGGGAGGTTGGAATGGAGGGAGGTTGGAATGGAGGGAGGTTGGAATGGAGGGAGGTTGGAATGGAGGGAGGTTGGAATGGAGGGAAGCCAGTGGGTTAGTGGGTTGAGAGCAACCCAGTGATTACAGCGGCACTTGTCTTTCTCGCTGTTTCTGCAGCACCTTGCCCCATCCACTCCCCTTGCCCCATCCACTCCCCTTGCCCCATCCACTCACCTTGCCCTCGCCCCCTCTCCCTCCAACCGTGTCATCTGCCTCTGCTCCTCTCCCCCCCCTCGCCATCTGCATGTCCCCAATCCGCCTCACTGCCTCGTCCCTTGCCTCCCGTGCTGCCTGCAGCGCTGCTGCTGCCTCGGCCCGTGCATGCTCCGCGATGCGCTCCCTCTCCCCCGCCGCCTGCGCCGCCTCCCGCAACGCCTGCAGGGCGGGAAGGGGGAGGGAGGGGGGCAGCTGATCACATCACGGTGCAGCTCAGCTGGATGGCCCATGGGCCGCTGGGAGGGTGGCGGCGGGGGATGGTGGCAGGCTGCCAGAGGATTTCGACCCACACACCAGTCCCTGAGCCTCACGCCCATGAGCCTCACGCCCCATGTGCTTGCTTGCTCTACCTCTTGCTGCTGCTGCAGCTCCTGCACTCGCCGCACTGCAGCCACCGCCTCCCTCTGTGCCTCCTCTTTCGCCCGCGCTGCCTCAGCCGCCCCTCTCTCCGCCGCCCCTGCCCTCTCCTCCGCCCTCCTCTGCCCCTCCTCCGCCTGCCGCCAGCGCTGCTCCCAGTGCTGCTGCTGCTGCAGGTGCACGCGCTCCCGCTCCTCCTCATCCTGCTCCATCCGCCTCACCTGCGCCGCCATGCCCTCCATCTGCGGGCGGGCGCAGGGCGCACACAGAGGGCGGCGGAGTGAAGCACACCGAGAAGATGGATCAACGTGGGAAGAGTTGAAGGAGGAAGGCAGCAAAAGGGGAAGATGGTGACAACATACGGGCCAGGGGGGACAGGAGAGCAAAGGGAGGGGGAGAGAGAGCAACGGGAGGGGGAGAGAGAGCAAAGGGAGGGGGAGAGAGAGCAACGGGAGGGGGAGAGAGAGCAACGGGAGGGGGAGAGAGAGCAACGGGAGGGGGAGAGAGAGCAACGGGAGGGGGAGAGAGAGCAACGGGAGGGGGAGAGAGAGCAACGGGAGGGGGAGAGAGAGCAACGGGAGGGGGAGAGAGAGCAACGGGAGGGGGAGAGAGAGCAACGGGAGGGGAGAGAGAGCAACGGGAGGGGAGAGAGAGCAACGGGAGGGGAGAGAGAGCAACGGGAGGGGGAGAGAGAGCAACGGGAGGGGGAGAGAGAGCAACGGGAGGGGGAGAGAGAGCAACGGGAGGGGGAGAGAGAGCAACGGGAGGGGGAGAGAGAGCAACGGGAGGGGGAGAGAGAGCAACGGGAGGGGGAGAGAGAGCAACGGGAGGGGGAGAGAGAGCAACGGGAGGGGGAGAGAGAGCAACGGGAGGGGGAGAGAGAGCAACGGGAGGGGGAGAGAGAGCAACGGGAGGGGGAGAGAGAGCAACGGGAGGGGAGAGAGAGCAACGGGAGGGGGAGAGAGAGCAACGGGAGGGGGAGAGAGAGCAACGGGAGGGGGAGAGAGAGCAACGGGAGGGGGAGAGAGAGCAACGGGAGGGGGAGAGAGAGCAACGGGAGGGGGAGAGAGAGCAACGGGAGGGGGAGAGAGAGCAACGGGAGGGGGAGAGAGAGCAACGGAAGGGGGAGAGAAAGCAAAGGGAGGGGGAGAGAGAGCGACCTGCCTGTCTCAAGAGAGGTTGAGTGGCAGCAGTGATGTGTGTGCTGACATCACCATGAGCTGTCTCTGCCATCTGGCAGCGATTCTTGAGAGCCGCTAGCTGACGGGGGGAGGGAGAGCGAGAGGCAGAGAGGGAGAGAGGGAGAGAGGGAGAGAGGGAGAGAGGGAGGGAGGGAGACAGGGAGAGAGGGAGAGAGGGAGAGAGGGAGAGAGGGAGAGAGGGAGAGAGGGAGAGAGGGATAGAGGGAGAGAGGGAGAGAGGGAGAGAGGGAGAGAGGGAGGGAGGGAGAGAGGGAGAGAGGGAGAGAGGGAGAGAGGGAGGGAGGGAAAGAGGGAGTGAGGGAGGGAGGGAGAGAGGGAGAGAGGGAGAGAGGGAGGGAGGGAGAGAGGGAGGGAAAGGAGAGATGAGCAGCGAGACGGCGGAGAAGCAAACGAGCAAATGCACCTCGGCCAGTCAATCACCCTGCATAGCTCAGCCTCATTTCCTGTGGCTCATACAGCTGCTGGCCCCTTGGCTCTCCCCGCCCTTGCATTAAAGTTCGCAAGGGCAGCAGCCTACGATTGGCATTCAGCCTACGATTGGCATGCAGCCTACGACTGGCATGCAGGGAGGCGGACTGTGCTCACTGGTGCATGGCTGCAGTGAGTTGAGCGTCGCATGTGCGCACCATCCATGTCACTCGCTCTACACCTGCTCACAGCATGCCTCACACACCTCTTGCAGCAGCTTCTGCTCTGTCCGTGCCGCCTCCCTCTCTGCCTCCATCGCCCTCTGCCACACGCAAGGACATGCACGCAAGGACATGCACGCAAGAACATGCACGCAAGAACATGCACGCAAGGACATGCACGCAAGGACATGCACGCAAGGACATGCACGCAAGGACATGCACGCAAGGACATGCACGCAAGGACATGCACGCAAGGACATGCACGCAAGGACATGCACACTACTGAGAGTGCCGCACGCAAAGACATGCACACCACTGAGAGCGCTGCAACACAGCACACACCAGCACTCCGTGGCACGAATGAGAGCCTCATGTGACGGACATGAGCTGAACGCAAGGATGGTATGACGGGGATGTTGTACGCGAAAAGGAAAGGCCCCTGTAGAGAAGACCAGAACACTCCAGAGCAGCAGAGCATGGCAGGAGCATGGCTGGCCTGGCAGGAGCAAGGCTGACCTGGCAGGAGCAAGGCTGACCTGGCAGGAGCACGGCTGACCTGGCAGGAGCACGGCTGACCTGCGTGACAGCAGCTAGAGCAGCCGCCATGTGGCGCTCCTTCTCTCCCGCCTCTGCCACGAGCGCCGCCCGTTGCTGCCTCATCTCCTCCCTCACCGCCGCCACTGCTGCCGCCCGCTCCTGCGCACTCTCCGCCACCACCTGCCCTCAGACACAGGGGCACACAGGCAGACAGGGCGCACACAGACAGACAGGGCGCACACAGGCAGACAGGGCGCACACACACAGACAGGGCGCACACACACAGACAGGGCGCACACACACAGACAGGGCGCACACACACAGACAGGGCGCACACACACAGACAGGGCGCACACACACAGACAGGGCGCACACACACAGACAGGGCGCACACACACAGACAGGGCGCACACACACAGACAGGGCGCACACAGGCAGACAGGGCGCACACACACAGACAGGGCGCACACAGGCAGACAGGGCGCACACACACAGACAGGGCGCACACACACAGACAGGGCGCACACACACAGACAGGGCGCACACACACAGACAGGGCGCACACAGGCAGACAGGGCGCACACACACAGACAGGGCGCACACAGGCAGACAGGGCGCACACACACAGACAGGGCGCACACACACAGACAGGGCGCACACACACAGACAGGGCGCACACAGGCAGACAGGGCGCACACAGGCAGACAGGGCGCACACAGGCAGACAGGGCGCACACAGGCAGACAGGGCGCACACAGGCAGACAGGGCGCACACACACAGACAGGGCGCACACACACAGACAGGGCGCACACACACAGACAGGGAGCACACACACAGACAGGGCGCACACAGGCAGACAGGGCGCACACACACAGACAGGGCGCACACACACAGACAGGGCGCACACACACAGACAGGGCGCACACAGGCAGACAGGGCGCACACACACAGACAGGGCGCACACAGGCAGACAGGGCGCACACACACAGACAGGGCGCACACAGGCAGACAGGGCGCACACACACAGACAGGGCGCACACACACAGACAGGGCGCACACACACAGACAGGGCGCACACAGGCAGACAGGGCGCACACAGGCAGACAGGGCGCACACAGGCAGACAGGGCGCACACAGGCAGACAGGGCGCACACAGGCAGACAGGGCGCACACACACAGACAGGGCGCACACACACAGACAGGGCGCACACACACAGACAGGGAGCACACACACAGACAGGGCGCACACACACAGACAGGGCGCACACACACAGACAGGGCGCACACACACAGACAGGGCGCACACAGGCAGACAGGGCGCACACAGGCAGACAGGGCGCACACACACAGACAGGGCGCACACAGGCAGACAGGGCGCACACACACAGACAGGGCGCACACACACAGACAGGGCGCACACACACAGACAGGGCGCACACACACAGACAGGGCGCACACAGGCAGACAGGGCGCACACAGGCAGACAGGGCGCACACAGGCAGACAGGGCGCACACACACAGACAGGGCGCACACACACAGACAGGGCGCACACACACAGACAGGGCGCACACACACAGACAGGGCGCACACACACAGACAGGGCGCACACACACAGACAGGGCGCACACACACAGACAGGGCGCACACACACAGACAGGGCGCACACACACAGACAGGGCGCACACACACAGACAGGGCGCACACAGGCAGACAGGGCGCACACAGGCAGACAGGGCGCACACACACAGACAGGGCGCACACAGGCAGACAGGGCGCACACACACAGACAGGGCGCACACAGGCAGACAGGGCGCACACACACAGACAGGGCGCACACACACAGACAGGGCGCACACACACAGACAGGGCGCACACACACAGACAGGGCGCACACACACAGACAGGGCGCACACACACAGACAGGGCGCACACACACAGACAGGGCGCACACACACAGACAGGGCGCACACAGGCAGACAGGGCGCACACAGGCAGACAGGGCGCACACACACAGACAGGGCGCACACAGGCAGACAGGGCGCACACACACAGACAGGGCGCACACAGGCAGACAGGGCGCACACACACAGACAGGGCGCACACACACAGACAGGGCGCACACACACAGACAGGGCGCACACACACAGACAGGGCGCACACACACAGACAGGGCGCACACACACAGACAGGGCGCACACACACAGACAGGGCGCACACACACAGACAGGGCGCACACAGAGGCAGCATTGGATGGGATGAGACACAGGGCGAGAAGTATGTTGGTCGTTGCTACGCTGCCGCTGCATGGTGGATGTAACTGAGGTTGACGTGCAATCAAGCGACTTTTGACCCCGCAGAGGAATGCCTCGCGAGGAGTCCTCGAGATTGGTAACTGAGGTTGATGTGCAATCAAGAACGGCATCCCAGCTTCCAGCCACCCTGAGAGGCAGGACTGACCCTGAGAGGCAGGACTGACCCTGAGAGGCAGGACTGACCCTGAGAGGCAGGACTGACCCTGAGAGGCAGGACTGACCCTGAGAGGCAGGACTGACCCTGAGAGGCAGGACTGACCCTGAGAGGCAGGACTGACCCTGAGAGGCAGGACTGACCCTGAGAGGCAGGACTGACCCTGAGAGGCAGGACTGACCCTGAGAGGCAGGACTGACCCTGAGAGGCAGGACTGACCCTGAGAGGCAGGACTGACCCTGAGAGGCAGGACTGACCCTGAGAGGCAGGACTGACCCTGGACTGACCCTGAGAGGCAGGACTGACCCTGAGAGGCAGGACTGACCCTGAGAGGCAGGACTGACCCTGAGAGGCAGGACTGACCCTGAGAGGCAGGACTGACCCTGAGAGGCAGGACTGACCCTGAGAGGCAGGACTGACCCTGAGAGGCAGGACTGACCCTGAGAGGCAGGACTGACCCTGAGAGGCAGGACTGACCCTGAGAGGCAGGACTGACCCTGAGAGGCAGGACTGACCCTGAGAGGCAGGACTGACCCGGAGCAGGTGAGAGTGAGCCTGGGAGGGCAAGAGTGACTGACCCGGAGCAGCTGGTCCTTGTGGTGCTGCAGCGCCTGCTGGGTGACTGCCAGCGCCTTGTTCGCCTCCTCCAGTAGGGACGACCTGCCACCCGTGGAGGGCACACGCGCGTGTAGGGACATATCCACAAGCATGCTCACACACACTTGTACTGGCGTGCCCTCACACATGCCTTGGTGCAGAAACGACTTGTAAACATGCACTTACAAACAGACAGAAAAGAAAATGGAGAAAACATTCAGACGGATAGAAAACAACACAGGAAAAATACAGGAAAAATACAGGAAAAATACAGGAAAAATACAGGAAAAATACGAGAACAGAATGGATAGTCTGAGGAGAAGAGGAGGTGGGTTCACAACAGGCGGAGAGCTGACCTGGTGGCATCCGCGCTCTGAGCTGCAGCCTCCAGCGCCTGCCGTTGACAGCGAGGAGTGGAGGGGCGCACAGGGCAGAGGGGGGTGTGGGACACGGCACGGGAGGGATGGTAGAGGGGATGAGGGAAGTCGCAAGTCAAAGCAAGCAGGAACTGGAGAAATAAAAGGGATGAGGAGAACGAGCAAAGGCTTGGGGACCCATATAACAATGGAGCCAAACCTGCCACCCCCCCCACCTGCCCCCTTGCCTGGCACCCCCCCACCTGCGCCTTTGCCTGCAGCCTGTCCCTGTCGGCCTCCAGACGAGCCACCTCCTGCCGCTGCCGTGCCACCACCACCTCCCTCTCCGCCACCGCCTGCCGCAGCGCCTCACTCTCCCGCTCCCTCTGATGCACGGAAGGAGGGAAGAGGGGGGGGGGGGGACAAGCACGGAGAAGAGCACAGGGAGAGGTGAAGAAGCATGGTGCGGGAAAGGGATGGCAAGAGCGAGCAGCATTGACGTGGTGGGAGAAGAGGCACCGTGCAGTGCACAGGCAAAGGGGTTGAGCAGAGGGATAGAAAGAGGTGCCGCGGCAAGGTGAGTGGTGGAGAGACTAGGGGAGCCCATCTTTGCTGCGTCCCACTCACCTGCTGCCCCTGTGCGTCCCTCTCCGCTATGTCTGCCTCCATCCTCGCGGCCGTCTGCCTCAGCTCCTCCACCAGCCGCCTCAGCCCGAAACACTCCTCCCTGAATGCATGCACCTACACAGTGGGCGCGCCATGGCAGGAGGGGCAAGGAGGAAAAGGGAGGCGGCGTTGGAGCTTAGAGGCAGGGCGGGAAGTGCACACTGCCCCAAGTGCTTCCACAGCTGCAAGTGCACACAGCGAGGGCAGGGCTTAGGGGCGACGGCACAGGCACGCCTCTCTATCACGTGGACAAGCTCTCAGCTACTGCGGCCTACGGCTGTGCTGTGCCCCGCCCCACCCCACCCACCCTGCTCCTCCCCCCCTTCCCCCTGGGCGCACTCACGCCCTTCTCAGCGGCGTTGAGGCGCCTCGTGAACTCCTCATGCAGCTCCCTCAGCTCCTGCTCCGCCTCCTGCACTGTGCGCCCCCCTGCCGCCCCCCCTCCCCCTCCCCCTCCTCCCTGTGCGGCGGCCTCCAGCGCCCGCTGCAGCTCGTCCTTGAGGCGCTCATTCTCCGACTGGCGGCACGAGGAGGGGGCAGGCAGGAGTAGAGTGAGGGCCGGCCGGGAGTGTGGGGTGTGAGAAAAGAATCAGCGGAGCACCATGGCCGCGGGCCTCACGGAGGGAGAAGGGTGGCCGGGGGCCTGGAGCTAGAAGCTGTTTTGGTCAGTCTTAATAACCTTTTCAGTTCCGTGATAGCAACGGCATTGGGGCAATGGATGCCAGGTGAAACACCACCTGAGCAATCACCTGATGATCCACCTCAGAAGGTTCGTCGCATGGCATGGTGACTGGTTACCTGCAGTGCGCCGTTGATGACGGAGTGAGTGAGCAGCTTGTTCTCGTAGTGCTTCACTCTACATGGGGCACGGAAGAGACGGAAGGACGACGATGGATGAGGTTTGATGAAGAGGACCAGAAGAGAGAGAAACCGATCAACAGGGAAGCGCTGTGGCAAGCGCAGCTAGCGACGAATACGGCACGCGGCGTTGCTGTCATGCACGCGGCGTTGCTGTCATGCTCGGCAATCAGCCGCACTGCCATTGGGCATGGCATCCCGCTCATTTGACGGCCATCTCTTTCTCACTTGACGGCCATCTCATTCTCACTTGACGACCATCTCTTTCTCACTTGACGGCCATCTCTTGCTCACTTGACGGCCATCTCTTTCTCACTTGACAGCCATCTCTTTCTCACTTGAAGGCCATCTCTTTCTCACTTGACGGCCATCTCTTGCTCACTTGACGGCCATCTCTTTCTCACTTGACGGCCATCTCTTTCTCACTTGACGACCATCTCTTTCTCACTTGACGGCCATCTCTTGCTCACTTGACGGCCATCTCTTTCTCACTTGACGGCCATCTCTTTCTTCAGCGTCGCCACTTGAGCCGCCAGCCGCGCCACCTCCGCGTCTGCGTCTGCGTCTGCGCACACAACGGCGAGAAGCAAGGAGGACGAGAGAGGGAGGGGTTTATTCAGCCGAGAGAGGGAGGCGTAAGAGAGAGCCAGCGCGGGCGATGCGAGGGGGGTGTGGCGGCGTGTAGGGCGGGGAACAACCGAGGTCACGGACTGGGCCTCTGCCCTGCTCGCAGTGCGCACAATCCCGTCGGCCCCCAGCTCTAGGGCCGCCCCATCCCTCGCGGCGGGCTTGCGCGACGCCATGCCCGCCGCCCACTCCACCCGCGCCACGCCTCGTCCCGCCTGACCCAAACCACGCGAGGCCGTCAGCACACCTCCTGCCCCTTCCCACATCCACGCTCCCCAACCCTTCTCCCTCGCACCCCACTGCGGCCCACGCCGCGCTCACCGTCGCGCTGCCCGCTGCCATCGCCCGCCGCGCTGCCCGACGGCTCCGCCGCTCCTCCATTCGCCATCCCTTCCGCAAACTCCGCTCCCGTCGGCATTCCCGCCGAGGCAGCTGCGTCTGCCGTTACCTCATTGGGGGGGCGACGTGCGCGCGTGGCGGGGAAGGGCGCGGCGGACAGGCGAGGTGTGGTTGAAACGTGTCGTGTGGCGCGCAGTACTCGGCGGGCCTGCTGTGAAAGCACAGGAATGACGCGGGTGGAGAAAGCACGAACCCTAAATTGGCGAGGAAACAGTGTTACGCTATGCTGAAATGCCTAAACGCGGTGATAAATTTGCATGCACCAGGGTGGAAAGAGCATGACAATTGTAAGGAATTTTCCATTCCTTACCGAGCGGTACTGCTACCGTGTACGCTCGAACACACCCGAAGCCTCGGGACTGTTCCGGGCCTTTCTGATAGAACCGCCCCGGCCTCTCCAGACCTGCTAGTTCGACCTTCGGGAGTTCTCCGGGCCTCGCTTCTGTCAAACATGTGTAGTTATCATGTTTGTATAGACTGTATAGGGTCACCTTCTAGAGAGTACAACATTTAGGTATATGTTTGTGTACTCTCTCTCTCTCTAATCATTCAATTCTCTTTCTGATATGGTATCACGCGTAGGTAGGATCCCCCCCCCCCCCTAACGCTTCCGCTCGCCCCCTAGCTGGGCCCCGTCGTGCTCCTAGCCCCGTCGCGACCCTCCCTAGACCCGTCGCGCCCCTATCCTAGACCCGTCGCGTCCCTCCCTGGGCCCCGTCGCGCCCCTCCCTGGGCCCCCCCCCCCGTAGCGCCCCTCCTGGGCCCCGTCGTGCTCCTAGCCCCGTCGCGACCGTCCCTAGCCCCGTCGCGCCCCTTTCCCTAGACCCGTCGCGCCCCTCCCTGGGCCCTGTCGCGCCCCTCCCTGGGCCCCGTACCGCCCCTCCTGGGCCCCCCGTCGTGCTCCTAGCCCCGTCGCGACCGTCCCTAGGCCCGTCGCGCCCCTTCCTGGGCCTCGTCGCGCCCCTCCTGGGCCCCCCCCATTGCGCCCCTCCTAGGCCCGTAGTGCCCCTCCTGGGCCCGTAGCGCCCCTCCTGGGCCCGTAGCGCCCCTCCTGGGCCCCCATTGCGCCCCTCCTGGGCCTCGCCGCGCCCCTCCTGGGCCCCCATTGCGCCCCTCCTGGGCCCGTAGCGCCCCTCCTGGGCCTGTTGCGCCCCTCCTGGGCCCTGCCGCGCTCCTCCCTGGGCCCCGTAGCCACCCTCCTGGGCCCCGTCGCGCCCCTCCTGGGCCCCTTCTCGCCCCTCCAGGGCCCCTGTCGTGCCCCTCCTGGGCCCCGTCGAGCCCCTCCTGGTCCCCGTCGCCCCTGCTCGGCCCCGTCGCCCCTGCTCGGCCCCGTCGCCCCTGCTCGGCCCCGTCGCCCCAGCTCGGCCCTGTCGCGGCCTCTCGGCCCCGTGGCGCCCGCCCGGCCCCTGTCGCAGCTGCCCGGCCCCTGTCGCACCTGCCCGGCCCCGTCGCCCCCGCCCGGCCCTGCTGTGTCCTGCCCGGCCCCGTCGCTGCCGCCCGGCCTTGTCGCTGCCGCCCGGCCCCGTCGCAGCCGCCCGGCCCCGTCGCAGCCGCCCGGCCCCGTCGCAGCCGCCCGGCCTCGTCGCTGCCGCCCGGCCCCGTCGCAGCCGCCCGGCCCCTCGTCGCGCCTGCCTGGCCCCGTCGCGCCTGCCCGGCCCCGTCGCGCCTGCCCGGCCTCGTCGTGCCTGCCCGGCCCCGTCGCGCCTGCCCGGCCCCGTCGCGCCTGCCCCGGCCCTCCATACTTCCTGGTACTGTCCCCCGTTCCCCGCACCACTTTACACCCTCCTGCACTTTCCTGCCCCGCCTTGCACCGCATTGCACCTCACTGGACCGCACTGACCGCACTGCACCGCACTGGACCGCACTGCACCGCACTGCATCGCACTGGACCGCACTGCACCGCACTGCATCGCACTGCACCGCACTGCACCGCCCTGCACCGCACTGCACAGCACTACACCGCACTCCACTGTCCTCCACTGCCCCTCATGGCTGCTGAGCTTCGTTTTGATGCTGAGGGTCAGCCTCTGGAGTTCGAGGCGTGGTTGGCTGACCTTCGCCGCCACCTCACTGGTCAGCGGCAGGACGGCCACCCGCTTTCTGCACACCTAGACGGTATGCTCCCCTGCCCTGACCCCCCTGCTGTGCTGCCCGCTGATCCCACGCCTGCTGAGCGCGAGTCCACTGCCGCCGCTGCCCTTGCCCGCTCTGTCTGGCTTTCCCGCGATGCCCTTGCTCAGCTCGCCATTAGCAATGCCCTCCCCCCCCCTGAGCGCCCTCGCTTTAGAACCATTACTACCGCCCAGGCCTACCTCGATGCTGTCATCAAGCGCTATTCTACCCCTCCTGCTGCCTCAGTGGGTCGCCTGATCCTCCCCCTGCTCTTTCCTGACCTGGCGTCTTTCCCCACTGTCTCTGACCTCGCTGCCCACCTGCGCTCGATAGATGAGGCCTGGCGCGCTGCCTGCACTGCTGCACAGCTTAGAGTCCACCAGCCTCCCATGACCTCTACCCTCTACCTCCTTGCCACCCGCCTCCCTGACCGCCTTGCCGCCGCCCGCGACCAGTTCCTTAGCATCCACCCTGCTGCTCTCACCCTCACCGACTTTGTTGACACCCTGACGGCCATAGAGACTCGTCACCGCTCCATAGCCCAGGCGAGCGGTACAGTACCGGTCCCTATCTTTCAGGGTTGTGCCCCCGCTCAGTGTACCTTCTCCGACGGCTCTGTCGCTGTGGCTGAGACTGCTGCTGCAGTACAGTCCCGCTCGGGGAAGGGCCGCCGCCCCAAGGTTGGGAGCGGCGGAGGCGGCGGGGGTGCGGGTGGGGGTAGTGGTGGAGGCGGGTCGTCCGGTACCGGTGCGGACGTGGGGACCCTGCCCGGTCCAGCTGCCCCGCTGCCTCCACCGTTGCAGCAGCAGCAGCAGCAGCAGTCGCCGCAGCCGCAGCCTCCGCAGCAGCCGCAGCAGCCGCCGCAGACGAGGCCGGCGAGTGCTCTCCCGCCTGGGTGGCCTGGAGCTGGTGGTGGTCGTGCGCGTGGTGGTGCACCGGGTGGTGGTTCTGGAGGCGGGCCCTGTCAGTACCAGATCCAGACCGGTCCTCGCCGCGGCTTCGTTTGCGGTAAGATCGGTCATTCCACTCCTCGCTGTTTTCGTCGTCTGGACGACCTGTTCCGCCAGCGCTTTGGCCCGGCGCCCGACCTCCCGGACTGGCACAGCTTGCTTAGGCGTAGCATTCGGATTTTTGACTTGGACATGGATGCCATTGTCGCAGCCTTGCATGTGATGTATGCCGATGACTCTAGTGTGCTTCCCTCTTATTACCCCGTGTTGCCTAGTGTAGCTGTGCCTAGCGTAGACTCCCCTGCTGCGTCAGGCGTAGGATCTCCTGCTTTGCTTAGCCTCGGTGCTTCCACCGCTTCACTGTCGCCCCGCGCGACTGCTGCGCTTTCCTTCACCTTGGACTCTGGCGCCTCCCGGTGTTTCTTCCGCGACTCCACGACGCTGACGCCGCTGCCTGTTCCCGCTGCAGTTACTCTTGCTGACCCCTCCGGTGGTCCCGTCGTTGCCCGCAGTTCCACCTCCCTTCCCTGTCCGGCGGTTCCTTCAGGTTCGCTCACCGGTCTGCATATCCCCTCGTTCTCCAGGAACCTAGTTGGTGTCGGCTGCCTCCAGGACCTTGGCATCACCACTACGTTCCCTGGTCACGAGCGGTATGCTGTCTGTACCGAGGCCGCCACTGGTGCCCCCCTTACCACTTTCCCCCGGGACCCGGTGTCCGGCCTGTTCACACTTGACACCGCGACGTCCCCGGCTGGGTCTTCCCCTCAGGTAGCTGCGTCCACCCAGGTTGCTGCTGCGTGCTCCTGTCGGTCCCTCACTCATCCGACTCTCCTTTGGCACCACCGCCTTGGTCACCCTGCACTCCCGCGTCTGCGTCACATGTCCCAGCACGGTCTCGTCCTTGGTCTCCCCGGTTCGTTCCCTGAGTTTCCCTCCTCCCCCGCCCCACCGTGCACGCCTTGTGTCGAGGGCCGGCTCCGCCGTGCCCCTCACTCCTCCTCTTTTCCCCCTACCACCGCACCCCTGCAGACTCTGCACATGGACGTCTGGGGCCCAGCCCCGGTCCATGGGCCGCGTCGCGAGCGCTTCTTCCTAGTGCTTGTCGACGACTTCACACGTTACACCACCGTCTTTCCCCTGGAGCGGAAGGCCGACGTGCCTGACGTTCTCATCCCCTGGCTTGTCTCTGCTCGTGTCCACCGCGGTCTCCCTGCCTTGCGCCTCCACTCCGACCGGGGTGGCGAGTTCGCCTCAGGTGTCCTTGGTCGCTTCTGTCGTGCGGAGGGCATCACCCAGACGTTTACCCTGCCGGACTCCCCGCAGCAGAATGGGGTCGCTGAGCGACGCATCGGTTTGGTCATGGAGGTGGCTCGCACCTCCATGATCCACGCCGGTGCACCCCATTTTCTGTGGCCGTTCGCCGTGCGCTACGCCGCTCACCAGCTTAACCTGTGGCCGCACCCCCAGCGGCCGCAGGTTTCGCCGACCCTTCTGTGGACCGGGTCCCCTGGTGACGCGTCTGCGTTCCACGTCTGGGGCTGCCTTGCTCACGTTCGTGCCTCTGGCACGGACAAGCTCACTGCCCGCACCCTCCCCTGCGTCTTCCTCGGTTTCCCCCTTGACGCGTCCGACTGGCACTTCTACCACCCCCCGTCTCACCGTTTCTTTCACTCTCGCGACGTCACCTTTGACGAGTCCGTCTCCTTCTACCGCCGCTTTCCCCACCGTGGTCCCCCGGTTACTCCCCCCCTGTTCCTGGTTCCTCCCTCCCTGGTGGCCCCTGCCCCTCCCCCCCCCCGCCCCCCCGTCCGGCCCCCTCTGGTGTGTCTCACGTCACCCCCCTCCCGTCGGTCGTTCCGGTCGACGAGTCTTCTGACTCTGGTAGTCCTTTGGCGCAGTCCTCGCCGTCTGTCCCTCCCCCGGTGTCTCCTCCTCCACCGCCTCCGCAGCCGCCGTCGCCGCGGCTGCTGCTGCCGTCGTCTCCACCGCCGCCGCCGTTGCAGCCGTCGTCTCCGCCGTCGCCGCCGTCGCAGCCGTCGCTGCAGCCACCGCCGCCGCCGCAGCTGTCGTCGCTGCCGCCGTTTGTGGACTCTGGGGGTGCTGGCGTTGAGGTGGGTACTAGTCCCGGGGCTCCAGTCGTGGCTTGTCCCGGCGGGCCTGGGGGTGGTACCAGTGCTGGTGGGGTTTCGGGCTCTGGGGGTGTCCCTTCTGGGGGTGCAGGTGTGGAGGGTTCGGGAGGTAGCCGTCGCGCAGCTTGTGGCTCTGGTGTTGGTGTTGTGTCGTCGCAGCAGCAGTCCCCGCCAGTGTCCGCCCTCCGTCTGCTCGGCCTTCCGTCCCCTGACCCTGCGCCTGTTCCTCTCCGGCCGTCTCCCCCCCTTCCCGTCTACGGCCCCGTGTTCCCTCCGCCGGACTCGTCCCCGGCTCGTTTTCCCCCTCGTTCCCCACCCGTGTCCCCTCCTCTGTCTCCTGACCCGACGCCGCCCTCTCACGTCTGGTCTCGCCGCCCCTCCCGTGCTCGTCCTGTCTCCCCCGTCCCGCGCACTCACCCTATGTTGCTCCGCTCCCACGCGTCTCGTCCTCCCCTCCTCCCGTCTCCTCCTCCGTCTTCTCTTGTCGTTGCGTCTCCTCCTCTGTCTGACTACTTTCGTGCCGCTCGTCCTCTTGTTCCTCGGGTCCTTGCCTCTCTCGTTACCGACCCGTCTGTTCCAGTGTCGAGTCTTGACGCCCTCGTCGCTGCGGTTGCGGACTTCGCCTCTACCCGCCGCCTTGACTACGCTTCCGCTCTGGTCTCTGACCCTGCCTGTCCTCCGTCCGTCGGGGGTGCTCCTGCCCTCGGCAGTGACGTCCTGGAGGACCGCCAGTTTGAGCTTGCTTTCCTGTCCGAGGCTGCTCCCCATCTCAGTTCCATGCTGCTAGTCCCTGAGGGTGACCCAGACGCTTTTGACATCCCGACCCCTCGTACTTACGCTGAGGCGGTTTCGGGACCCTGGGCCTCTCAGTGGATAGCTGCCATGGAGCAGGAGATGGCATCTTGGAGATCCACCGGCACCTTCGTCGACGCAGTTCCCCCACCTGGGGTGAACGTGGTCGATGGCCGTTGGCTCTTCAAGGTGAAGCGCCCTCCTGGAGAGCCGCCTGTGTTCAAGGCGCGTTACGTGGCTAGAGGCTTCAGTCAGCGCGAGGGGGTGGACTTCTTTCAGACTTTCGCTCCTACCCCGAAGATGACTACTCTTCGGGTTCTGCTACACGTAGCGGCTCAGCGTGACTACGAGCTTCACTCCCTCGACTTCTCCACTGCCTTTCTTTAGGGCAGCCTTCACGAGCAGGTCTACCTGCGTCGTCCTCAGGGCTTTACTGGCACCTTCCCCCCTGGGACCCAGTGGCTTCTGCGGCGCCCAGTCTACGGTCTGCGCCAGGCGCCTCGTGAGTGGCATGACACACTGCGTGCTACCCTTGCTGACCTGCAGTTCTTTCCGTCCTCTGCAGACCCCTCGCTCTTCGTTCGTGCTGGCTCGACTCCGTTCTACATCCTCGTCTACGTAGACGACCTGGTCTTTGCCACAGCTGACAGGGACGCACTGGCCTCCGTGAAGGCAGAGCTGCTGAAGAGACACACCTGCACTGACCTTGGAGAGCTGCGCCGTTACCTTGGCTTGCAGATCTCCAGGGACAGAGCCGCGCGCACCATCACCCTGACTCAGTCACACTTGGTGCGCCAGGTCCTTCAGAGGTTCGGCCTTCAGTTCTCCTCCGCACAGCCCACCCCTCTTCCTCTGGACCACAGACTCTCCGCTCCAGTTCCTGAGGAGTCGGTAGATCCCAGTGGTCCTTACGCTGAGCTAGTGGGTTGCCTCATGTACCTGATGACTTGCACTCGCCCAGATCTCGCATACCCTCTCAGCATCCTGGCTCGTTTTGTGGCCACAGGCAGACACCGACCTCAGCACTGGTCTGCCGCTAAGAGGGTTTTGCGTTATCTTGCAAGTACATCGGGCATGGGGTTAGTGCTAGGCGGACGCAGACCAGTGGTCCTTACTGGACACACAGACGCTTCTTGGGCAGACGACGCCGAGACGCTCAGGTCTTCCCAGGGCTACTGCTTTAGCCTTGGCTCAGGTGCTGTCTCGTGGAGAGCTACCCGCTCCTCGTCTGTTGCCCAGTCCAGCTGTGAGGCTGAGATCTACGCCGGTGCCATGGCGGCACAGGAGCTCCGCTGGCTGACCTTCTTGCTCACTGACTTAGGTGAGCGGCCTAGCTCTGCCCCGGTCCTGTACGCTGACAACAGGGCCATGATTCTCCTGTGTCAGGAGCCTCGACTCGAGGGCAGAGCGAAGCACATCCAGCTGCGGTACTTCCTCCTGCGCGAGCTACAGCAGCGTCGCCAGGCTCGCGTAGTACACTTGGCCTCCGGTGCCAACACAGCTGATATCTTTACGAAGGCGCTTGCGCCTAAAGATCATCAGCGGCACTGTGTACAGCTTGGTCTGGTTCCTGTAGTCTCTCACTTACTCGGGCCTTGACTTTGTACTGTCGTATATATATATGTATACACTCAGACTGGACTTGTGTCCTCTCACAGTGGTTGGACTAGTAGTGCCGCCCTGTACTAGTTCTTGCCTTGTCTGTACTCCTTCTGACTGGTCTTTTAGACCCTTGTCTCAGAGGCTGGACTAGTAGTGCCACCCTGAGCTGCTTGTCTAGAACATTCCCCTATGCAGTCCAGGGGGTGTGTCAAACATGTGTAGTTATCATGTTTGTATAGACTGTATAGGGTCACCTTCTAGAGAGTACAACATTTAGGTATATGTTTGTGTACTCTCTCTCTCTCTAATCATTCAATTCTCTTTCTGATAGCTTCGTCACTTCGAGACCCTTCGATCTCTTTCCCGAACCTTACCATCGCATGGTTAGACTAGCTCTGGTGTTCCTATATCTTGGCTTGCCATTCCTTGTATCGTCATTCAGTGAGTGAACATTTCGTTATTCATTTCCGCGCTACTCTGCTTGTTCATTCATAACACCTGGTATTCAGAGCCACTTTCCTCGCTCACCCGTTTTCGTGAGTTGATTTTTTGGGGGGGGGAGGTAAGTCCCTCACGTAAGCTGCAAAGCGGTTGCCCGCGAATTAGATTGATTAATTCGCCCAACTACGATAGCGTTTGCGCTTACCCGAGTACAGGCACACGACGGAATTCCCCCTGCCCCGGCGGAGCATTCGCCAAATGGACCAAGCTCAGTTCAACGAGCTTCGGGAGCTGTTCAACACCATGAACACACGCATGGCTACAGTGCTGGAGGACAACGAGCGACTTCGTGCAGAAGTTGCCGAGTTACGCCAGGCGCGAGAGGATTCGCGTCAGAAAACTGCCGCCTAAGAGGAGGTCGCCAGCACTGGACGTGTCGAAACCGTTTTGGACGAAATCGCACGTGAGGTGTCACAGGAGCGCAAGGACAGTGAAGCCGCCGCGGTAGCTGACGTGGCAGCACGAGCAGCAGCCGAAGCAGCAGCAGCAGCAGCAGCCGCTACTGTAGCCGCACCGGCGTTTATGCCGATCGTGACGACAGCGACGATCAAACCGACAATGCCGCCCCCGTTCAACCCCACAGATAAGAATACTACTGTTACGGGCTGATTATTTTCGGCGGAACTTTATTTTAATGCCGCTGGGATCATGGCTGACGATTTATAAATTCGGCAGGCTGTATCATTACTGCGGGGACCTGCGCTAGATTGGTGGCGATACACACTACAGGAGGAGGAGTTTTCGGCAGGCGACACACAGAGGTTTTTCGGAAACTTTGGGTCTGCGGCCCAAGGGTCAACCGCGATTTTTGGATCGACCAAGATTCGCACGTGGAAGGCGTGGGGTACAGCTCTGCATGAACGGTTCGAGCCAATATCCGCCTCGGACAACGCACGTACAAAGCTGGACAACTGGCGCCAGTGGAGTTCTGTCCAAGATTACACGTCGGTCTTCATGGCGTTATGCGATCAAATCACCGACATGCATGACTCTGAGAAGAAAGCTCGATTCATTTTGGGTCTGAAGCAGGACATTAAATGCGAGGTCCGACTGCGACTTCCGGCGACGTTTCACGAAGCAGTCCGGATCGCAGACACTTTCGACGCACATCGGACGTATGCGAGAACGGGTTCCCGGGAGGGAAATCGTTTTCGTGGCCAGAATCCACGGCCCACGATTCACGGCGTAGTGGCAAGGGAGCACATGGAAGACTTTCGCAAAGGACAATATTTCAACTGCCACCAGCCGGGTCACCAATCTCACGATTGCCCCCGAAAGAAGCAGATAAAGAAGAACGACCAAGGCAGGTCTGGAAACGCCAAGCGTCAGTAGCGGTCGGGCCCCCTACTGACCCTGCCTCATCGCCCGAAAAACACCATCCCCACCGAGTAGTGGTTCCGATACATGCTATCAACCGCTCCCGGCTGAATAAGGGGGATGACCCAGTAGACCACCCTGTACTGGCAGAGGGACGACTCAACGGAAGAAAAATAAAAATATTCGTCGATGGAGGTGCGAGTCATAGCCTGATAAATCGCGAGATAGCACGACGACTACATATGACGCTGGAGAGGTGTTTGCCCGAAATCGACGCGCGATTGGTGGACGTCACATCACTGGCGATACGCGACAAAGTACCCGTCGTTCAAATGAAGTGTGGCGAAGATTTTGGTTTCAGCGCGCCGATGCTGGCGACAACGCTAGACGGCTACGACGTGCTACTGGGACGCGATTGGCTGCGACGATTCAACCCGCAGATCGATTGGACAACAGGCGAGTGCACAGTGAAGTGCGACAAAGGCTGGCGAAAATTACCCACGTGGCCGGAAGCAGAGACAACGTCGACACGAGTCAACGCGGTGTGCCTCAAGCGAGCGGTCAAGAATGGAGCGGATTTATACGCCGTCCATCTAACCGAATCGACGGAGCAGAACGAGGCGACCGACCTCAACAAACTCTGCGCTTCGGTCCCGAATGACTTGGCGCAAATCATTCGGGAATATCCTGAGATTTTCCCGGACGACTTGCCAAGTGGACTGCCACCCGAATGACCCTAGGACCACAAGATCGAGTTGGAGCCCGGCGCGCAGCCCACTGTACGCACGCAATGGCGCCTGACTCAACCGGAGCTACAGGAACTACGGAACCAACTAGACTACCTACTGGCGAAAGGGTTCATTCGGCCGAGCACGTCACCATTCTCAGCACCGATCCTGTTCACCCCAAAAAAGGACGGCGGACTTTGCATGTGTACGGACTATTGTGCCCTTAATCGGGTAACGATAAAATCGCGCTACCCAATCCCACGCATGGACGAACTGATCGACAACCTTCGCGGAGCTCGCTATTTTTGGAAGATCGACCTTCGCGGTGGTTACCATCAAATTCGAGTGTTCGCTGACGATTGCCACAAGACAGCGTTTCGAACTCGCTACGGGAGTTACGAATACACGGTGATGCCGTTTGGATTAACGAACGCCCCCTCGACGTTTCAACTCACCATGAACGGGGTGTTCCGCGATCTACTCGACAAATGCGTGATAATCTACTTGGACGACATCCTGATCCATAGCAAGACCCGCGAGCAACATTTAAAAGATTTGGAAGCGGTTTTTCAGCGGTTGCAGCAGCATCGTCTCATCACCAAGGGCTCCCAATGCGAGTTTTTAAAACAAGAACTGGAGTTCCTGGGGCACTTGATCTCCACGGAGGGGATTCGGATAGACCCAAAAAAAATCTGGGCTATTCAAGAATGGAAACCACCAACAAACCTGCAGCAGCTGCAATCTTTTTTGGGTTTCGTGAATTACGTGCGGCGGTTTATACCCAACATGGCAGGGTTAACTGGACCTCTAACCGACCTACTGCAGAAGGGGGCTTTTTACGAGTGGGGGGAAAAGCAGCAAGTTGTGTTCGAGGCATTAAAAAATCTTTTAATGTCACCACCGGTACTTCGCTTCGCTGACCCGGAACGACCCTTCGAAGTCATCACCGACGCAAGTGACATCGCTATCGGAGCAGTGCTCATGCAGGATTTCGGCAATGGGCTTCAACCAATTGCGTACGAGTCTCGGAAAATGCAATCTGCTGAGCGCAACTACCCGGTACACGACAAGGAGATGCTGTCGATCGTCCACGCGTTCAAAATCTGGAGGTGCTACCTGACTGGAGAAGACGTGACGGTGCGAACCGATCACAAATCACTACAGTACCTGAGAGCGCAGCCGAATCTCAACCCGCGGCGGATACGCTGGCTGGACTATCTGGAGTCCAATTTCACGTACAAGATCACGTATAAAAAAGGCGCCAACAATATTGCCGACGCCCTCTCCAGACCATCTGCCCAACTCGCAGCAGTACTAGTCGCCCAGAGCAACCCGCTACTGAGTGGACTATTTACCCACGGGTATTCGACTGACCCCTTCTTCGTAAACGACGTCCATCTCCCAGTCACTACACGGAAATGCGTCTATTACTTACGAAGCGGAACTGATCGAATTTGGGTCCCAAGTTATCGTCTACTTCGCGAATTACTAATTCAAGAAGTCCACGATTCAAATTTATCAGGACATTTCGGGGTTGATAAAACTTTGAAGGCGTTGCAGCAGTTTTATTACTGACCAGATATGGTGACGGACGTGCAGCGATACGTGGCCGCGTGTCCGATCTGCCAGCGAATGAAGACATCACACCAGCGACCTACCGGACTGTTGCAGCCCCTCGAGCCACCTCAACGCCCATGGCAACACGTAACGATGGATTTCGTTACGGGACTACCGGCCGGACCCAGCGGAAACGACGCAGTTTTGGTTGTCGTCGACCGATTGACGAAAATGGCGCATGTCGCACCGTGTCGTACAACCATCACAGCCGAAGAAACCGCGCGCCTGTTCATCTCGACCGTCGTTCGCTTACACGGGATACCAGCAGCAATCATTAGCGATCGAGATCCGAAGTTCACGTCAAAATTCTGGCAGGACACATGGGCTCGGTACGGCACGCGTCTACAGTTCTCATCCGCTTATCATCCCCAAACGGACGGCCAGACTGAAAGGACGAATCAAACGATGGAGCAGCTGATTCGGACAAACTGCCCCGACCGAAAAAAATGGGAGGACGTGCTGCCTATGTTGGAATTTTCCTACAACAACGCGCCCTCGGCTACGACTAATCCCTCCCCATTTTATCTCAATTACGGGATGGACCCTACAGTACCAGTCTCCACCAACGTTGAGAGTCAAGTACCATGATCGCAGCAGTTCGTCGAAGAATTACAGACTGCCCGAGACAAAGCTATCGAACTTATTCGCAAGGCGAATGCAACTGCCCGACGGTATGCAGATTTACATCGCAGGGATATTACAATGGCAGCAGGGCAACTAGTCCTGTTGGACACCAAGAATTTACGATTGCCACTACCGACAAAATTACGACCGCGTTTCTATGGCCCATTCAAGGTCATGAAGATGGTAACGCCGGTGACCGCCCAGTTGCGCCTACCTGATGACTGGTGTATTCACAACAAGTTTCACGTGAGCCTAATGCGACCTTTCGTACCCGACACATTGGACATCGCCCGACAGCGATTGGTCCCAAATGTACGGCCACCAACCGAGACGACCATCGAGCCTTCGAAGATTTTGAGCCATCGGATTCATATCGACGGCCAAGGACGACACGTTAATTTCCTGATACGATGGTCCAATCGTACCAGTGAGGACGACACGTGGGTGCCCTCGGACCAGATACAATCACCTTCGATACTTGCGAATTATTTGGCCCGCAAGCACGTGGCTAATATAGATCACCTTCGCTAAGGGGGGGGGTGGTGTAAGGAATTTTCCATTCCTTACCGAGCGGTACTGCTACCGCGTACGCTCGAACGCACCCAAAGCCTCGGGACTATTCCGGACCTTTCTGACAGAACCGCCCCGGCCTCTCCAAACCTGCTAGTTCGACCTTTGGGAGTTTGCCGGGCCTCGCTTCGTCACTTCGAGACCATTCGATCTCTTTCCCGAACCTTACCATCGCATGGTTAGACTAGCTCTGGTGTTCCTAAATCTTGGCTTGCCATTCCTTGTATCGTCATTCAGTGAGTGAACATTTCGTTATTCATTTCCGCGCTACTCTGCTTGTTCATTCATAACAACAATCTGCATTAGTAACACTAGTCAAACAAACACGGGCTGTTAACGTTCATATTTCTATCTGCTAGAATATGTACGATTTATAGCCTAGCTAGGGTTCAGACCTATATGGAGTACACCCCCTTGGATATTTCCAATGTATGCTTTCACTATATGAAGCGGGGCGACTATGCTTCAACAACGACATCCCTTGAAGGCTCGAGAATAGTCTTGCTACAGGGTCTTTGGAGGAATGACATCTCGAAGTTGGGCAAAAGATTTGACACATTTATAATCGGAGCAAATGCGCACTTCAGCGAATTCTGACCAGATTGCAATGTGAGTGACATTTTTTATGGAAAATGCTTATGAAGCCCTTTTTTTTGGCATAGATGGCTCGAGAATAGTCTCATGAGCTACAGGACCTTTGGAGGAATCGCATCTCAAGGTAGGGCACAAGATACTGTCAAGCATATCTTTGTATATTTTTATAGACTATAGGGTTATGCTTTAGGGAGTACAACCCACAAGGTTATATTCCATTGTATCTCATTGTTCTAGTCATTCGTTAACTTCGCATGGTATCATGAGTAGGTTAGGTCCCCCCCGCCCACCGGCGCTTCCGCAATAGGTCCTAGCCGCCCCGTCGCCCTCCCGCCCGTGCTCGCCCGTCCCCTAGTGGCCCCCCGTCACCTAGCGCCTAGCTGGCCCGTCTCCCAGCCGGCCCCGTCACCTAGCCGGCCCCGTCGCCCAGCCGGCCCCGTCGCCCAGCCGGCCCCGTCGCCCAGCCGGCCCCGTCGCTTAGCCGGCCCCGTCGCCTAGCCGGCCCCGCCTCCTAGCCGGCCCTGCCTCCTAGCTGACCCCGTCGCCTAGCAGGCCCCGTCGCCCAACTCAGCCCCGTCGCCTAGCTGGCCCTCTCGCCTAGCCGGCCCCGTAGCCCAGCCGGCCCCGCCTCCTAGCCGACCCCACCTCCTAGCCGGACCCGCTGCCTGGCCGGCCCCGTCGCCTGGCCGGCTCCGTCGCCAGCCGGCCCCGTCACCTCGCCGGCCTCGTAGCCCAGCCGACCCTGCGTCCTAGCCGGCCTCGCCTCCTAGCCGACCCCGTCGCCTCGCCGGCCCCGTCGCCCAGCCGGCCCCGTCGCCTAGCCGGTCCCGTCGCCCGACCGGCCCCGTCCCCTAGCTGGCCCCGTTGTCTAGCCGGTCGCCCAGCCGGCGCGGTCGCCTCACCGGCCCCGTCGCCTAGCCGGCCCAGCTGCACAGCTGGCCCCGTAGCCTAGCCGGCCCCGTCACCTCCCCGCCTAGACGGCCTCATCGCCTCGCCGCCCGCGGCCCCGTTTCCTAGACGCCTCGCCGCCGTCATCGGCCCTCTGCACCGCACAACA